CTAACAGTCTCTGCAGCCAACACAGACTGGGCAGTTGTCTTAGCAGAGAAAATACCCAGAAATAAAATGGCATGCTGTCCATAAATCTAACATCTGTCATCAAAGCAGGCTGATCCATTGTCCTACTGACCTCTGTCTGCGCAGTTCATTGTCATTTGTTGGATGTGTGTTAAATGTAAAGCATAAAGCTTATGTTTTGCACTACACTGGCTACTGTTACCAGCTGTGCCTCTCATTCACCCACTCACACACACTAATGCCATAAGCTACCACGCACCACACAGGTCTAGCTATTAGGCACAATAGCTGTAGATCGAACCATCAACCTAACGACTAATGGACAACCTGTTTAATCACCTCAGTTTCTGGTTTTGGTATCAGTCAAAGTGCAACAGCTTCTTTCTGGAGTCACCAACCTTTAACAATCACACAGCACTGAGAGAAATCCATGAGCAGGAAAGCAGGGATAATGTACTAATTACTCAATCAACTGTAGCTTCTATAGACCTGAATGCAAAGCAGCCACACAGGATCTCATGGTTTAAGTATAGCACAGAAGTTCTTTACTTCTGTCTCTCTGTTACTCATATGCGTTCACTATTGTGCTCAATATGTAAACACTCAACTCCAGGGTCTCCTGAAAATTCCTGAGAATGATGATGCTTTTGACTAAGGCAACATATATTGCATTTTATGTGCTTAGATTCTGTGACAAAGCAGATTCCACACCCTATTTTGGAAGTGTGAATGGTAGGGCTGAACAATTAATCGGAACTTTACTGACACTGTAATATGGAAGCTTGCAATATTGCACATTCTAAATCTACAAGAAACTGTACGTCTACAACAAAATCAGACTCTATCTCACCCCTGCTGTTTCAAACACATACCTACATGCAATCAGTCTCTTGACAATATCCTACTGGCTCCCAATTTGGTCCCTCACCACAAAGGAAACCACTGAACCAATAGCAAGCCTATACAACAGAGCTTACAAGATCCATGGTAACCTCCTCCTTTGGACTCACTACTGCACAGCACTCTCACACTCTAACACCCTGACTTTTCAAAGCTACACAAATAATCTAGCCATTAAATTCTATTCTCAGATCCTAAACAACAACTCCAATCCTACGCTAACTGCTCTATGCAAGACAGCAACGCATTACTAGATCAATTTTGCATGCACCTTACAAAAACAGTTATGGTCAGAGATCATTTTGTCACACTTACACGAAGATTTAGAACGAGATAACCTCTATTGCAAATTTCAAACACGCATATAAACACTATCTGATGGAAGGACAAACCTGCAACCACTGATTCAAATCCCATATCCCATTTTACTCACTCCACTTTAGTCCGCTTTAAGTATTGTGGCTGCAGAGATGTTTGGGCCTACAAATCCTATTCCTATTCCTCAGTGAAAATGAGAATAATGATGCAAAAATGACCATTCCCTAAAGAGTCATATTGCAATTGTAATTTAAGTCAAAATATTAGCAATTAGATATGTATTCCAAAGTATTCAGCCCTTCTCTATGGCGCAGGATGATGGAGACATACAGAATTTAAGGAAGCCCTACACCCACGGTTGAATGCAACAAGTTTATGCCCATTCTCTGCAAGTTGAACGGCATTCTGGGAATTGCATGTGGGGCAGTACGTACAGCCAAAGTAAATAACTCTTCAAAACAATTGTTGGAATGAAGCAAATCTGATAAAATTAAGATAATTAAACTCTACTGTATTAAAAAAACTGTGTACATACAACATCGTATAGGGTGTCTACGGGTATCAGACAGTTAAGTTTAATCCATTTTAAGACCCTTTAAAAGACACCTTTTAACCAAATTTGGGACAAATTTTTGGACAAATCATGTTTTATTTACTTGAGCATTACAGTGGTGTTGTGCAGAGTTAGATGTTAGGCCTTGTTATTAAATTAAAGACATTTTAAGACTTTTAAAAGGACATGCAGACACCCTGTTTATCCAAATCACCATACTTTTACTGTAATTTTTCATGAGCAGTGAGGATCTCAATATACTGTAAATCTTGCTCACTCATCACCCACTCACTCAGCAAAAAAACAAGTCAATCAGAAGCCAAAACCTATTCTGGGTCCTCACATCTGTACATGAAAAACTGAAAATGGAGATGAACTTGGGCCCTAGGATGAAAATGTTTTAAAATTTAACACTATTACACTGACTCAACAGAGAAACCAAAAGCATCAGTGGAGCAATGCAGCAGAGTCACTGGACGTCAGCACCATCAAAGAAATTTGTCACACTCTTCATCACAAACATAAGGAAGCAAGTGTATCAAATTCAATGAGACAGTGCTTAAAGAGCCAGCATTTAGGATCAACATACTGTAAAAAAGGAAGGAAGTAAAAACTGCCTACCTTATGGGTGTAAGGTGCTTCTCCCAGGTTGATGCCATCTTTTGCAAGTTTATCCCTCAGCAGCACCTTCAGCTTCAGTTTGGGATACGTCACAAAGTCATTACAATCAGTGAATCTGGGGTCATGGTTTCCAGGACAGGAAGCCTTGTGTATCCCTATGGTCTGTGCCTTTGACCTCATAGTCCTCAAGTCATCTCCTCTGTTTGAGTGTGCAGAGTGGTTGCAAGTAGACGGATCCAGAGGCTCTAAGGTGAAATAGTAGCCAGGTGTTTTCTGTTCATCCTCATCTTTCAGCCTGTGCACTGCTGTGAGCAGCCGGTGTCTGTGGTACTGAATGTGGACACCTATGGCGTCCAGGTCTGGCTCCCCAATCTGTTTGCAAACTTCCAAATCATCATAGCCATTATCAATGAATGACTCCACATACTGGGACAAGTGGAGCTTCGAGAGCCACTCCAGGACGAGGTTTGGCCCCTGGGTCATCTTAAGACAAGATACAAAGAGGAAGAGGAGGCCTACCTTAGGTGTGCATCATCGTCTCCAGTCACACAGCTGCAGGGAGGTTGTGCAGAACTCTGGTCCAAGTTCAGTCCTCCAAATTAGATACATCTATTAGTTGTGGCCAGAGCAATGGAGACACTGTGAGTACATAACTAGAGACAGCAGGGTGTCTGTATGTTAGAAACACTCTTTACTGTCAGAAGCACTTAAGCATCTCAAGTCCTCTTAAGGAAACACAGTGACGACAGGTTCAGGCTCTCCACTGACCCTGACTTCTGACATTTCTTGGAGGCTTGTAAGTTAGCACATGTGAAATCCCCTACAAGAAGAAGCCAGGACTGTCGTCAAGCCAAAAGAGTCCACCGGTTGACTTTAACCGTTAAACACATGTTAACGGTTGGCTGTATGACGCCAGCACTTTAAGTTAGAAAACGTTTTTTTTTAAGCTAACTTACTTTCTGTCGTCGACGGAGCCGTAAAGTTAACTGAAAAGACAAACCTTTAACCGAGTTGACCACATTTCAGTGACTTTATCCTGTCACAAAGATGGGGAAGAAGCCAGTTGGCGTCTTCTCAGGCTGCATCCATCCTCTTTGTCTCACTCATCCCAACGGTTACAGGGCAAGACGCTTCGGTCCGTCAAACATTTCAACCGGAGCAGAAATGTAAACGTTGACGCCGAAGCCAAAAGCGAGATATAACTGATGTAAACCCGCTGGGAGTAGAATAAAAAATAGAAAAGTCTCGATACCGGTTCAGAGTGCACTTGTTGTGGCTTACTTTGAGGCACCGTGTTCAACTTTGCTGCCCCTCCGCTCCATCCGCTGCTGAGGTTCAAGCAGTGTGAGGAAGATGCTCAGGCTTCAGTTACTGCTGTAGGTTTACCCCGCTGGACGATGGGAGATCAGAGAGCGCTGGCGCCACCTGCAGGGGATTCTGGGAAATGTAGGAGTCGGGAATGAAATGAAATGATAAAATAAAATAAAACAAAGTTAAAAAAAAATAGAGTAAAGTAAAAAAAAAAAAGAATAAAAATAAAAAAACAAAATATGAAAAAATAAACTAAAATACATCATGATAGAAAGCGGAAGAAAAATGAAATACAATAATAAATACACAAAAGCGGTGCTTAAATTGTGTCGTATATTCAAACGTAATTTCTACTATATTTTTTCTGACCATATCTTTTAATTAAATAGAAATGTAAATACTCTAAATGTTATGCATAGTTTCAAAATCACTTCACAAAATCCCCCAAATTACTTTGATATAATACATATTTGATTTTTAAGTGTTAGATCTTTGCTTTAATTTAAGATTAGGTTATTTAGGTTTAAGCAATCCTTCCTTGTAGTTGCAGAACTTTTTTGGGGGGGACATTGCATTTTAAAAAAATATTAAAAGGCTACTTCAATAAATGGCTATATACTATTTATGGTATACCACTGTATAGGTGCATCTCTGATAATTTAAAAAAAAAAAAAAAAAAACAGGTAAAAAGAAAATGACCAAAAATGAAATAAACAACGAAATAAATAGAATGTCTTTGTAGAGACTGACAACAAATAATAATTTTAATTGTCTACAGTAGCACCAGGGCTTTTAGAGAAGCCCCCCATGACATATAAAAATGTAAATGATAATTATTAGCAACAAAAATACAGTATGTATATTACTGTTGTTAGTAATAACAATGTGTGTATGTGAGTAGGGAGAGTTACATGGCTTCTGTTTTATTGATATAATGCTTGTTTTTTTTTATATTATTTATTCATTTGTGTCAATTTGTTCAGATGCATACTGCCTTCATTCTAAAAAAAGAATACATGATTGTAATTATGCACAGAAGTATTTGTGATATACATCAGAGAGGCACCAGGCTATCCCTCAGGATGATCAAGGCAGTGTTAGTCCCTGCTCAGTGGCTCTTGAGCAAGACATTTAAATTTGTAGCTGACATCAACACCTCTGACCTGATGAGGGACATGTCTGAAAAGAATTTCCATATAAGAACCAGTGAAGCATTAATTTCTAGATGAAGTCAGTAAGTAAACAGTACAACATGAAACAGAACACAGAAGACAAAACATGTTATGATTGGTTTTACATTTATTTTCCATTGCACAATAATATCTATATATACTGTATCTACAGTCTAAATTGTTTGTGGCAGCAGATTAAGTCAGACATCCATGTGAAATTTATTTTAATAAAACTGTACAAAAATTGCCTACTATGAGAAAATACTGCAACTCCACAGATATTCATCCCAGAAGACAGACGGATGGATGGAAGTATGGCGACTGACAAACCCTTGAGCTCTCCTGCACGGCGCTGCGAGCCTAGCCTTCATCTCTACGGTGCAGGGGAAGCAAGAGTTTTCATGAAGCAAACAGTAACATAAAACAGATGTACCAATGAAATAAATATAATCTCTCACACTTCTACAATTGGCATGATCAAATGAAAGTGGGACACCTTCTGATGCGTGATGAGAACTTCAGTTTTGTTCAACATGGTGGTAAATACAAATGCCAGAGCAGACAATCTCTAAGAGGGATAATACATGGTTGTTTCAAGTTTGTAAACACTTAATATCATGCATCCTTCAATGTGCAATAAGAGACCATTTAGACCATATATGTTGCAAACTGAAGCACTTTAAAGTTGAGGCCACACTTTGTAGAAAGACTCAGCGGCCCACTGAGAGGAAATGACCCTCCTGCAGTAGCAAAGCTTGAATCCAAAATGAGCATGTTCAATATATAACCAGAAAATGTTTATTGTCATGTCAGGATGATGGATAATTATGCACAACCATTGTTTTGGACATTAATGTGTTATTCTATCCCAAAAAAATTACATTAAAGGTATTCATTTTTAATAGATTATTGAAATTAAAAGTATATATATATTTGTTTTCAAATATATAAATATATCATAGTATCATTACCTGACATTGAAAACAAATCTGAGAGTGAAGCAATCAGCATAATTGGCAAATGACATATATAAGCATAGGTACTGTCACGTTTTGGTCCTTTCAAAAAGAAGAAAATGGGACACGAGAACAGAAACACATTAAAAACCATACTGACAAAATTATTTTAAAGTACAAAAAATAGTGCAAAACCCACATAGCCACTCTTTCTGATGGGTTTATCTCAGCAGTACACAGGAGAGTAGATTAAAATCAGCCAGCTAAAGGTGAAGGGTTTTATTCCAAAATGATGTGTGTGACTGACAACTCAGCACCTCCTACAATAAGTACACAGGATTTAACGCTCTAAAATCCAAGGGTGCTTTCACACCTGTAGATTGGTTCATTTGGTCCGAACCAAGGCGGGAAAAATGATGCACTGTTGCATTTTAGTTCTGGTCTAGTTCCTGTTCACACTGACTATTTACAAACGAACCAAGAGCAGCAAACATGAAGTTAAACTGACAGACAAGTGACTCCATGATTAGACAGTTTTGGTGACCCACGTGCGGAAATCAGACACTTTGTACTTTGACGACAGAGCACACAAAGTCGTATCATAGACTAGCTACCATTATGTCACTCGTTGGTGTGTGGGCTGTTTTGTAGCTTTGAGTTTGGCATTTTAGCCATTGCCATCTTGGATTTTTTGAGCCAGAAGTGACCATATTTGGACGAGGGGGTGGAGCAGTGGAGGGCGAGGGATGGCTCTGACTCATAGACTGTGGCAACGCCTCACAGACAGCATGTCACTGAAGGCGGTTCCACCCTTAAATATGCGTAACTTTGAGCCTCAATAGAAAGTAAATGAGTGAGTTGTCAAAAAATTCACCCTCATACAGTTGTCGGGAACAAGGAAATTTATTATAGAAACCAAAACTGTTTTTGTACCAGGCTGTATACATGTTTATTTCTGCTGTAAACCTGGGCATTTTAACACGGGAATCCACAGGGATTGACTTGTTTTTGGAGTCAGCCTCTAGTGGCCATTAGAGGAACTGCAGTTTTTGACACTTAGCATTGACTTCATGTTTCAGCCCGGAGGCTGCTGTGAGCTTACGTCGTATACAAGCACAGATTTTAACAGCTTTTGATCTATTAAAAAGAAAAACATCCACGCTGACGTGCATATGCATAACCATGGTTACCAAATGATTAGCATAAACAGATTATATGCACGGCCTTATAAGGATCAATTACAAAATTGGGAACAGATTTCACCATCAGCAAATGGGTTCATTAGTAGTTTAGCTTTTGAAATCATGATAAAATCACATATCTGCAATCATAAAATCCTGTTGTTGGTTCGTTTGTTTTAACACCACAAACAAACTGCACCAGAGTCCGCTCGGACGAGCACCGAGAGCCACCTTTCCAGGCCATCTTCTTACGGTTGTTTGTCCGCACCAGGGTTCCAGAACCATACTAACCAGGTGAACTGACCTGAGTTTGTTTTAACCAAACCAAACAGGTGTGGTGTGAAAGCACCCTGAGAAAATTAATGCAAACTTCTAGCTGTTTTATTTCAAGCTTGCCACCATTTCCCATGAGCTAGTGTTACATGATTTTGGAAATAAACTCTTCAGCTTCACTTTGCCTGTCCTCTGAACACATGTACAGCAGTTTGGGTGATGAGGGTGGTATGCCCGTAAGAAGAAGCTAAAGCCGATCTACCCCCCCGCCCCTACACACAGTAGACTTCTTGACTTGAGAGCGCCGTCCAAGCTATCCACACTGACTCTAACATTTGGGAAAAAATCAAGACAACTCTGTGAAATTAAGCAACTCTTTGGTGTCGGAAAAGAACATGGCCGCAAGCGCACTGTATGTCACGTTGCCTGAACCTGCACTGTCAGATTTGTGTCCGGCTGTCCCGTTATTTACAACATTTGGCAGCAATCTGGACCGACAAAGTCTTGTCTCTCTTTTTCAAAATAAAAGACCGACAGATGATGCTCTTACATTGACACAGATAGCAGCGCATCCTTGCACCTCATGAGAAAGAAATCTAATCACAATAGAATTCTAGTTAGCCACATTGAAAAAACACTGTCAAGCAAAAACAAAAACCTCAAAAGACCTATTGTAATACACTGCATCTATGTAGTATTATAAATATTGGCGCCCATACACATATTCCTGAATATATGTATGTTCACACGCACACAGACATACACATAGGTAGAGGTTAGAATATATGCGTCATGAGGCAAAGGCAGAAGAGAAACAGTTTTAGAGTGAGTGGTTCAGAGAGAGATGACCAATGGCACTGCGTGGGACGCTCTGTGGTGCTTGGTAATGTCTACCGGCAGCTACGAATACAAAGACAGCGTTACCGTTTCCTTTGTGCTGTAAGAGACACATGCTTTTTTCCCTACACATCGAGACAAAAATCAGCTGCGACAGAATGCAGAAAGAAATCTCAATAATCATGACATGTACAGATAGAATCTTTATCACAAAAAATTAAAATTGTAACCAAAATATACATTTATGCTAATCATATTACGGACAATCTTTGTCTTGCCCTTCAACACGTCATCCTTCGCATACGTGACTTAGCTACAGCCCCTTGACAGAAAGTCAGAAGACCTTCAGGGCTTTTCCAGTGTATCAACTTCATTTTCCCAATAGATCAACGTAAACTCTTCATCATGGGTAAACATTTTCAGCACTTTTTTTTGCGCATTTACCAAAAGGTTAGAAATAAAATTCAATGCCCAACATACAAACTTAATTTACTTCCTATTATTTATACTGCTCCAATAAATAAACTCATTTAAAATAAAAAGTGACGCTCAGAAAACTTTGTCTTTCTCACCTAAAACTTGGTTGCAAAATGTTGTAAAAAGGAATGGTCGGTGATGAACTAGTGTACTACCAGCCCTTATTCGGTGAGAGGCAACAGATTCATCATCTCCCTGTCTAGTTTTTACGGTTCTAAGTGCTTGAAAGGCCCTTTCTGGACAACAAAAACAAAAAAAGGACAAAAGCAGACTGACAAAGGGACAGAGGTCAAACTCTAAAAATAATTTAAACCAGAAAAACAAACAAACACGAGTCCTTCATTGATTCATCACTCCTATAGAAACTTACATCTTCATTGACATGATTAGATTTGAAGGACAAGGGGTCATCAGACTTTTCTCCTCGTTTAAGTCCACTGTGTTTGGCATACACCATAAAGGGTAGAGAAAGGAAAAAAGAGCAATCAGGCCACCACAAGTACATGTTTTGCAGAATTGTCTTTCCTCTTTCAGAACAAAACAGCAGGGTGTGTAGATATATATATACTGTATATATGAGATATATATGAGTGCATGACTGATGGATATGAAAGGTCACCTCTCTCCTGTTCTGCGGACTGATGTCGCACAAACATCACCGTCGCTCTCAGGTGAAATGGAACGAGAGATTCCTAAGAGCTTCTCTTCTCCCATTTCTTTCCGTTCTCATTACGTCGGGTCGGCCAATGTGTCCACTCCGCGGCAGTCCTCCGGTGACTGAGGTAATGCAGAGTGTGTGATGCTGCGCTGAGAATAAAAGCATGAGTCCGTTGAGCAGAACCCCCCGTGGAGAGAAACGGAGAAGAGAAGGAGAGGGACCTGCAGCTCCTCAGAGATACTGGTGTGCGTGATTACAGAGTCCGATGCTCCACACGCTGCCATCAGAGCTGGTACCACTTCTTATCTTTGTACTTAAGCATCATCTGACGGGAGAAGAGAGCAAAACACAAGAGTCAAAAATACTTCTGCACAAACAGTCTCATACAAGGACAAGTAACCTACATGCCTGTACCTTTGTATGGCGCGCAATGAAATGATTGCGCAGAGTTCAAACAAAGGCTTGCCCAGGTGTGCTACTCTTACGAGGAAGTGTTTTAAAAAGTAAGGTTTTAGTGGAAATGCATGTTTGGGAAGTACTGAGCATACAACTGGATAAATGAGAGTTTTGTTGTCGATAAACCCTTCAAGTCTTCAAGAATTTTTTGGGATTCTTTGTTCACCACACAGGCATGCAAGATAAAGTTTTCGTCATCAATTCTACCTAACATGGGGTGTGTAACTGATACACAAATGATCATTTTGGGGGTGAAGCATTCCTTTAAGTTCCCAAAGAAACAATAGGTGCATACATCATGAGCATGTTTGGAGAAGGACTCTGCGCTGGCCATCATGGCTGCCGTTCTGTCCTCCAGCTCGCCCAGTTTCTGCCCTCTCTCATCCAGAGCTATCCGGGCTCGGGCCAGATCTCCCACAACCCCGGACGCTGCACCCTTCATTCCCTCCATGCCCCCTGGGCCAGGGATGTGCTGGGCCAGGCTACGGGAGGCCTTACCGGCAACTGTTTCACCAACTACCAAAGACAAAGACAGAAATCCATTTAATAAATTCCAACATACATCTTCTCATGTTAAAAGTCAAATCAAATTGCAACTGTCCTGTAACTGAAAACTTTCCCACACCAATCCCAAAATACCTCAAACTGGTGGCTGTGGTCAGCCAGTGAGATTAAAAATAGACATAACTATACAGAATATATATGATGAAAGATGATTTACTGCACTCACAGAGGTCCTCCCTGTCCAGAGACTGAGCTCCTCCCCCAAACAGGCCTTTGAAGAAACCTCTGTTAGGAGCCTCTGGTGTCTCCACAGGGGTAAACAACTCACTGAGCATCTCCTGAGGAACACATAAACATCAGCACATGTCTATTTCAATCTATGTTCCCTACAGAAATACAGACAGACCTATAAAGCATCTATACACTGCTGTTCAGAAGTTTGGAATCACCTGTTTTATAAAGTTTTTCTTCTTTACCTTCAATAATCTCTATTTTAACCGCGATAAAAACCATATAATTCAGACACCAAATGTATTATCTACATTCTAAATAGTTTCAGCCTCAAAAGAAGGTCCCTCTACAGTCTACTCAGTGGTTACATTGAAAAGGTTTAAACTGTGATTTGTCAGTCTGTATGTTCAGGTGATATTCCAACAGTGCTGACCCTCGACTAACCTATTAATGTTTTGGAGTCTGAAGAACAGCTTTGCAAAAGCAACACATCTGTTAACTGCATACTTATTGGTATTATTGTGCAACTGACACTGAAACAGGAACCTAGACCTTTATGCTCTGCCATTTCTCCTCTAATCATCACGCTGTAACCTGTGACAGGCTGCTATGATACCACAAAACATTCACATATACAAAGTTTTTTGTCGAGCTGCGAGAGTCACGTAGGTTTACATTACCAAAGTTTATAACAGAATCACTTGACGACACTGACTCCTGTGTGCGAATAGCAAGAGAGGAGAGGGAGAGACGCTGTGCTGCTGCCAGAGGAGCCGCTGAATGAGTTCCCTCTGAGCGGTTAGTAACGAAAAGAGTCTGAGAAGCCCGGGGCTGTTCATAAAACATTCAGGACGCCACAGTTTATTCCACACTACTGAAGCTGCTCCTCTTTTTAGAACCACCACGGAGTCGGTAATAATGTCGCTTTCAGCCATGCCCAAAGTATCTTGATATGAATTTCTACATGTAGAAAACAAATCCTTCGTGCAACCTAATAGCATGAAAGACCATTCAAAAATACAGAGTAGTCCTCTCAGCCATGTGTCTGTATTGAATCAAGCTTTGTGGCAGGCGATTGCAGACTTTTGATCAGCAGTGTAGACACCATGCCATTTCAGGTGCTAATAGTGAACATGAAATTATGTCATTTCACATTCCTGAAAAGAGCACAAATTATTTTGTTAAACCACCACTGTGATAGCAGTGACCTCACAGGCTTCATAAGTGCACTGCATAGAGTAGCAATATGCCTTCTTGTTTGTCCCTGTTTCCTCTGTCACCCATCTGATGTTATATCTGAACAGAAAAAGATCCCTGAACTGTCCATAGAGGATGCTTGGTGAAGAGATAACTGGTGTTGAATTATTAGAATTATTGAAAGATGAATTCAAACTTTTCACAATATAACTAATTTAGTAATTAGGGGTGTCTGACCTGCCGGTTGTCGCAGGTCTCCTGACTGTAGGTGATCCTCTGGATCTCAGTAGGGGAGGTGAGGTACAGGGCCTGACCCAGGTTGGAGAAGCAGAACGTTCTGGCTATCCGCATGTCCGTCAGTGGCAGGTAGTTCACATCCAGCAGAGGCCGTAGACTGGGCAAACTGGGATGATACATGAAACAGAAATTATTTCACTCTTTAAGACTATGGCTGTGCAGATACAGTTATTGTGATTTAATCAGATATTTTGAAAGTAGACTCAGATACCACAAAAAATCATACCTCAGAGTCATGATGTGCCCGTTAGCACAGAAACAGGCGATGCAGTACGCCCCGGCTATTTGCACGACATCAGCCCTCAGCACGAAGGAGGTCTCTGTGATGTTGTGTTTGTGGATGCGGGTTTGGGAGGGCATGGCCACCACCTTGGCCTGTTTCTCCGAACACAGTACAGCATACTGGGAATCTTGACCCTCTTGTGACGAGGGAGGGGAGGCTGGCCTGCGCCTCCGGCTCTTCTCCTTATCCTCATCTGAGGCATTTGGGTCATACCATGGCTCGTAGGAAGGGGGCAGCAGAGTTCCAGTAGAGTCCAACAGGGCCATAGTCAAAATGCCTCCTTTGAGAGTGACCATAGTGCCTGAAGAGTGAGCATGACAGGAGGTGTCGTTTTAATTTGGATTCAAAACACCACAGAATGTTAAATTTGTACTCAGTGCTATGATCCTTAATTCAAGGTCAACCAAGAGGACAGCAGAGCGTGGGAAGTTTAGAACATCTGGACAATAACTGTGATGGGAAATAAAACCACTTCCTCTCCCCACCCAACCTTCAAAGTTCTTTCTGTCCTGTGATCTCTCATGTTATGCATTTTTATTTGCTTCTTCTTTCAATATAAAAGTTACAGGTCAGTGAAAAGGTCTTCACATAATTTTGATACTATAAAATGATCCTAAAACTGGCATGACCTTTCACTTTCTGGAACACAGAAACACTTGTTGGTTCATTTTTTTAATCCTGTCTTTAGGAAACGTCTGACTTTGAAGGGACAGTTGACCCCAAATCAAAAATACATATTTTCCCTCTCACCTGTGGCACTAATTATCAGTCTGGATTGTTTTGGTGTGAGTTGCCACAGTTCAATCAATTTTATTTATAAAGCCCAATATCACAAATCACAATTTGCCTCACAGGGCTTTACAGCACACGACATCCCTCTGTCCTTAGGACCCTCACAGCGGATAAGGAAAAACTCCCCCCCAAAAAAACCTTTAACGGGGAAAAAAAATGGTAGAAACCTCAGGAAGAGCAACTGAGGAGGGATCCCTCTTCCAGGACGGACAGTCGACTCTACAGTAACTTTCTCAGAGGTTTCGGGAACTGAATATTTTGACTAAAACTGACTGATCTCTTCTGGCCCATACACTGTGGAATGAAAACTCCTTACACAGACTTTTTAGGTGACCACAACTCTGCCCATGTCCTTCCCCACATCCTCCTTAAATTTTAACTATTCACAGTGCAGGAATCCACCAGGACATTTCAGCTGTGAAGGCCAGAGAGAGTAATTCTGAGGTTTAAAAAGTAATGAGCAAAGCAAAATGACTAATACCTACATTATACTGTATCATATTTTTACCACATGTTGAATCCCTGCTGCACAAAGATAGTTTTCTCATGTCTGTTCGGAAAATGTAATTTTAGGGGCTTGGATCCACGACTGTGCTGCAGACTGCTGTTAGAGACAAATCCTAAAAACAAGGCTCCGGCAATATGGCCTATAAAATATAATGAAATATTTCAGGATTCACAACATATATTTCAATATTTTTAGACCTTCTCTAAATGCCTGCAGATGAATTAAACTTTTACAATAAAGTTAAAGTACTGTTATGACAGAGTTAAATAAAGTACTGTTGCAGTACAGTTTAATGAAGTAAAGTTATAATAAAGTAAATTAATGTACTACTATAATAATGGTTAAATGAAGTACTGTTGTAATAACATACTACTATGATAAAATTAAAATACTAATACAAAAAACTAAATAAAGTACTCTCCTGAAAAAGTTAGATAAAGTAGTTAAAATAAAGTTAAAGTATTGTTATAATAAAGATATGAAGTCCTGTTATAATAACATTTAATACAGTACTGTTGTGGTAAAGTTAAATAAAGTAAAGTTATTGAAAAAGTTAAATGAAGTATTTTATAATAAAGTTTATTTAAGTACTATTATAATAAAATTGAATGAAGTACTGTTATAATAAAATACTACTGTAATAAAGTTAAAGTTCCGTTATAAAAAGTAAAAGTACTGTTATAAAACAGTTCAATAAAGTAGTTATAATAAAGGTTAAATAAAGTTTTGTCGTAAAAAAAAGTTAAATGAAGTACTGTTGTAATACGGTCAATAAAGTACTGTTATAATAAAGTCAAATAAATAGTTATAAGAAAATTAAATGAAGTACTGTTATAGTTAAGATAACTAAAGCACTATACTACTGTTAAATGATATACTGCTATAATAAAGTTGAATAAAGTACTGTTACAATTAAGTTTTATAGCAGATAATACGTTGAATAAAGCACTAAATTTTAAAAAAAAAGTACCATTATAATAAAGCTTAATGAAGTACTGTTATGATAAAATTACTTCAATAAAAATTAAATATAGTCTGTTGTGATGTGAAAGTACTGTTAGAGCAAAGTTAAATAAAGCATTGTTATAATGAAATAATTCAAAGCAGAACCACCTGTGCTTTTATTTTGAAGTACCTGGCTTTACTCAGGCAGGAAATGTTGATGTTTTTACTGTGAACTTGAAGCTTCCAGTCCAACCGTTAGCTGTTAGCAGTTAGCAGAAAGTTTAACTGTTACAGTGGCACTGTTAAACCTGAAAAATGTATACACTTGTAAGCTGGAAACAAACTAACAGTTCTTCAGCTCAAACATTAATTTCTTGTCTCCCTGGTGCTCCATGGTCACAAAATGTGACTAAATGGTCACGACCTGGAGCCCTGCAGATACAAAAACACACACCTCACCTGCTCACACACTGTCACACTGGAGAGAGTGGTCTGGATGGGCGAGGGTATGTGTGTGACGCATCATGTTTGCGCCACTGGCTTAAATAAATGTTGTGACTGTTTATACTTGATTTCTGCGATACAGTCATTTTATACATTGAGCTTCTTACCACAGGAGGAGATGCCGACTGGTTGCTGCAGCCTCTGGTCCCCACCGGGTGGCAGGCTGAGGGCCACCATCATCACAGAGCCCTGGGTGGTTCCCACCAGCAGACAGGGGCTGACCGTGCTGTCCGTCTTCCTGGCGAAACTCTCACAGAAGTGAAAGGAGGAGATGGCCTCTCGGGATTCTCTGTCTATGCTGGTTACACTTGAACTACGTGAGCGGGTGAATGAGTTATCCTTGGCATCTGGACAGCAGGAGTGAGCAGAAAAACCAGAGAATGAGGAAATGATTTAAGTGAAATGAAAGTGGTTTTAAGTTTTTAGAGGACTTCTCCGTGCACACAGGAGAATTAGAGATGTTAATGGCACTGGGTCAAAACTCAGTCAACATGTCAGAGCTGTGTTTAGTGAAGCACATCTTCAATCGTGTTCATGTCTTTTAAAGAAGTGACCCAGTGAGGAAAAATCAAACCCTTCGACTGGTATTCACCAGGAAGCTTTTTGACATTGAGATGCTCTTGCACACTTTACAACCAACGATGCTTTTTTTTTTTAAATGTCTCCCAATTAAATTGAAAACAACAACATTCTCAACGTGAAAAAATGCGTAAGATATGCATGTAGTACGACTGGGACTCCCGAAGAAGAACTGGTATTTAAGGAGCAAGAATTATTCATGCCTCATTACTGTGCTGACGACAGCTGAAACACAAGCGTTTACCCTCTTTAAAAAGCTAATGAGGGATCCCAACAGAAACACAAAAGATCTGTGACACAGACGGGAAGGCTAAACACACTGCCCGTCGTGTGTGTTCTTCAAGAGGAAAAACTGCAAACAAGAAAAGCAAGATTTTTAACACTGAGTGCAGTCAAGTCAGCTGAGCGTCCTCGGAAAGAACGAAACAATCACTGTGAGAAGATTAGTGTCATTCAGTTCAGAGCAAAAGCCCCAGCAGTTGGTGGGGAGTTAGTACCAGTTATCCCACTTCAGCCCAAGTCAGACCTGGGCTTGTCCACTCACAGGAGTTGGGGAAAGACTTAGTTCTACAGATGCCCCCCTTCTGGGTCATCGTGGTTGCTGCCTTGCCTTGGTTCATACTACAAAAGCGCTTCTTACATGTGAAAGAGCGCCATCGTTGGGGCTTCTCCTCTGCTCACAGTGCAAACAGAGAGTGTTCATCTCAACTTACAGTATCACAACAGTCTTAAAACCAACATGCTATTACATAATAAGCAGTAATCTCACATGTGTATTTTAAAGCTGTAAACATAATACAAAGACAGAAGATTCAAAAGATAAAAGGTAGACCTGTAGAAAAATGTTCAAGTTCTTAGAAGCTCAAATTGTAGTAGTTTTTCTTACCCAGGTCCGGCTTTTGCTCACCAGACGAGCTAATTTTCCGTGACATCTTGGCTGTAACAGAAACAAACACTCCCATTTTATGAGGAAAGGTTGATGGCTAAAAATTAAAGATGGTTTGAAAAATCAAAGACAGGTTCAATAAATTACAATAGAAGATTCTGTAATTATCATCCAGTAATCTGTGACATTGTTTTCACTGTGCAAATCAGTGCGTAATCATTGGAAACAGTTATGATTTTGAGTCATTCTCAAGAGTGGTGATACATACTGAAGGACAACTGATGAAGACATACTTACAGTACATTATGCCAAACATGGGACAACTCTTGAGCCTGATTTGTGGTAGAACACTAGACACTTTTGGTAAGGGTCGCTCCACAGAAGTTAAAGCACGGCACCATGTTTTCATAATATCCATTTTCATCTGCTTATCTGAGGCCGGGTCAGCGTGTTCTGGGTCTGCCCCGGGGCCTCCTACCCGTGGGACGTGCCCGAAACACCTCTAACTGGAGGCACCCAGGAAGATCCTGATCAGACGCTTGAACCACCTCAACTGACCCTTTTCAACACGAAGGAGCAGCAGCTCTACTCCGAGCTCCTCACCCTATCTCTAAGGCTGAGCCCAGACACCCCACGGAGGAAACTCATTTCGGCCGCTTGTATCTGCCATCTCATTCTTTAGGTCACTACCCAGAGCTCATGACCATAGGTGAGGGTTGGGACATAGATTGACCAGTAAATTATGCTTCAGCGAAAGGTTTTAGCCATCTACTGTAAAACTTCGAATAATAGCCTGGGCTATCATTTGCAACACCACTTTATCCTGTTAAAACAGTACTCACAACTTGGATGAAATTCTATGAAAAATCCTTTTGATTCTTTTGATGTGAGGACCCTTACAGACAATAGTAATATGAATAACTTACAGAGTAATGGAGGTATGGACACATAATTTGAGGTAGCCAACAATCCAATTTTATACATCCAGAGAAATAATTGAGACAGGCATTTACTTGTCAAAATGTTTGGCCATACAAGGCTAGTAAAAGGGACTGGGCGTTTCACTGGGACTAGGCTGTTAATTAAAGCTTTACAATATATTTATGCTACTTTATCACCTTTTGCATTTTGATAACGGACGGCTTGATGAATTCAGTGAGTTTGAAGAGGGAGACAGTTTAAAAAGTGCTCCCGTACCTTTCTACCAATGAATTTTTAAAACTTTTCCAAGGTATTTTACCCCATTTCCCTGACTTTATTTAAGTAGCTTAAAATGTATAGTGACACAGACATATTTTATTTCACAGGCAGTTCCCAGGTAACTGGAGATAGGTAAACTACTAGTGCTTCATGGGATAGCAAGATTCTTTCCCGCAGCCTTGGCGATGATGCTTTGCCCGTCTGGTCTATGTGTATTGACACTAGTTTCGATAATGCAGGGCAGCACTAGATTTTAAATGAGTAATACAAGAAATGTATTTTAGTATTTGTATTGTATTTTAGACAATAGTCAAAGCATTGCAAATTCAAAACTTTTCCAAAACCTCCTGTTAATTCCAAACCATCTCCAAGCCTGGAAACAGTTTTTCTCATATTATTTTCCACAAATTTCATGACTGTTTGAACCTACTTCTACTGAGACGACAATGGGAGTGCAAGAAAAGGAGGTGGTCAGGGTTGACATGTTTTGGTGCAACAAATGCAGGACATGGACGAGTAAATGGATGACCGCCTACTGAAACAGTGCAACAAAATATGACGATGTCCACCAAGTTACTAAATTCTCCAGGTGCTCAACATGAAAGTTAAGTGTCAAATGACATGGTTTTTCCATCGAAAATACGTTGTATGTTGAAATACATAAGTGTCCAGCACCCTACCATAAATCAGGCTCTACTGTGTTCAACAAGTGTCTGCATTTCTTCAAGAGGAACATTCTGATTCCAAAAAAACATTTCAACTGATTTCAGTTGGCGCTTTTTAACTTTGTTGCTTGCTACCAGGAGTGTTGCCAACATAAAGTACAAAATCCCAAAAGTTGCCTGAGTTTATAACCACCCTCAGAGAAACCCTGAGAATACAAATGAGGCTGAGCAGCATCACAGACAACCAAAGGGCCTGCAATGTCAAACAAAGCAAGAGGCAGTCAAGAAGTGAGGTAATTGCAATTCAGTGAACAAAGTTATGCAAAGAGAGTAGGAGGAGGAAAAATCAGTGGGTAGCCAAACAGTTAACACTGAACTGAAGCCCTGGAATCAGAAACACACAGTGTCGACAGTCGAATAAATAATTCACTTAAACTTTTAAGTGACACGGTTAGACATTAGTACTGTACAGAATAAGGCATGAAGCAGATTTTCTATGCTTTTGGTTTAGTTAAAAAGCATTGTTTGCCAGTTTGGCATCATATTTTCAATCAAAGGTTGTGTACTAGCAACAGCCTTCAGCATTTTGACAAAAATCTGCATAGAAAATCTGAGGCCTGAAATTCAAAAGACGTCCTGTCATGCAACAAAGAATCGTGAATCATTTCATAAATCAGCTCTGAAACCCCCAAAACCTCATGATTAGTAAAAATACATTCATTGAATGCACTTCTTTCTTTCATTGGCACAAGACGCACAGATTGACGTGGGATTAAGGCACAGTGTGGTTAGAACGCTGTCATTCACAGAGAAAAGAGTGAGTAATCAGAGGGAACACATCTGGGTGATACAGTACCAAAGTCATTGGCAACCGTCTTGGAAAAACGTCTGCTTTTGAACTTCACTGGAAATAAGGTTCAAAAAGACAAATCAGACAACGGCAGCCACTCAGAAATACTTAAATTTAAGGGGTTGTGCAGCATTTAACAGTACAATACCCTTATCTATGAACTTCTGTTTTCGCTCTTCGTCTGAATTGCAAGGTGAGGTAGATCCTACGTGACAAATGTCAGCATTTGTAAAAGACGCTATTCAAAAATAATAAAAGGATCTGTTTATGCATGAAGCCCTCAGACTTCAGGGAGGCTTACCTGAAGTAGGTGATTTGCAGCGGTCCTCTGAGGTGTTGGACCCATCGTTGGAATCACAGGTTGCTGTGGGAGCCACAAAGGTTGTAATTAAACAAGACAGAATTAGTCCTCCTGGATTCATCTCATACAGTGAATTCCTGCTGTACACAGTAGGGCTGGGCGATATGGAGGAAATCTAATATGACAATCATTTCAATCTAATACCTCGATACTGATAATGTGACGATACTGCAGAGTTGACCGCTGGTGCTGTCACAAAATATTTGCAGTGATTTTTTTTTTTTTTTTTGATAAATAGTCAGTAATGTGGATATAATGATTAAAGCCCCGATCACACAGAGAGGTGTGCCACTTAAATGCCACTAGTGAAAAAATACGCTTGCGGCACCTTTATATTGTTGAGGCAGAGGGTACTTGCTGTAGCTCTGGTTGAGGGTGAGAGGCTGTCAGCAAATAGTTTGTTGGGCACATGTAAACAGAGATCTGTGTGGGTACATGAGACCCTAAAAAAGAGGGTGGATCATGGGGAGTACCACCAGTTGGTCCAGGAGCTTCACCAAGATGAAGGGTGTTTCGAGGCATATTTTAGGATGACTCAGGGGCAGTTTGACAACCTGCTGTCTATCATCGGGCTGTATAGCTCTGGGTATCCAGCAACTGCTATCACCAGTTTCTCCTCCATTGTCTACCAACTGTAAACTTGTTGTCGTAGCCACCACAGAAGGCCCGCCTCTCAAATCATCTGATTGGACAATGAGAAAAAAGATGATGGAAAAAGAGATGACATGGGGCTTTGAGTTGAAGTTTTTTCAAATCGAGGAGTTCAGAGTGTAGTGCAAAAACGCTAGGCACCTAGAGCGCAAAAAACGCATGTGAAAAGCTTCGTTCTCATTTAAAACAATTACAAAAAGCCGCCTCCAGCTGCTAAAACGCTTTCTGTGTGATCAAGGCCTAAATGGGTAAAAACAAATAATAGAACAGCAAAAAAACGTCCAGTAAGTTCAGAAATTACATCACTTCACTGTAATGCAGCCTTAAAAACCAGGAAAAGACCACACTTACGATATTATGATATCCAAAATCTAAGTTGATATCTAGTCTAACATGATGATATCTCAGGATGCACCAATTGTCAAATTCTTGGCCAAAGCTGATGATTAAAGTAACAATTTGGCTTACAGCTCATATGGTACTTTGTTGTTTATGTTGTTTGTGCGGTTATTTATTCTCCCTTTTGCACTAGGGAGATAAAGAAATCTTCATTTTAGAAGACCTCTTTTAAAGTCATTCACTCCTTCATTACACTATTTATCAATGAGTACAAATTAAATCGTACAAATTTGTGAAACAACCTTTACAATAACCTTCTTTCACGTGAAATTTGGAAAAAAAAGCTTAAAAAGTCCTTTCACGTTATAATATATATCATAATTCCCTCTCTAACATCTATTTTATAGTGCTGTCAAAACATCAACAAATTCCCAATTAAAACAAATGAATGCATCATAATGTAACTCGGTGCAACCTGTGTTTGCTCTAAGCACTGGCTGCTAACAGCTATGTTAAGTAGCTCTCCTTCTGCAGATGTCACCACAGACCTGTTGCTCACAATGAACCATTGTTAGGGAAACAATCGGGTGTGTCCTCTGACACACTCATAGTGAGTTTACTCTGTCCTTCCTTCCAAAAGCGTCATAGGGAAGATCTCTGTTCATCCCAAACAGGTTTTCTATTGTCCCTGAGATGCCTTTACTCTGGAGAAAATTGATGCGACACAACAGAAGAACATCGGCCACTGCCAACAGTCAATGTCATCTTATCTGCCAATAAGTCAACAAGGCAAATATTGGCCAATGCTGATATTCGGCAGATAAATTGGTGCATCCCTTATGATATCAATATAATATCGATATATTGCCCAGCCCTAGTACATGGAGTGAAAATACTACAGGGTCACCTATTAGAACAAAGGTGGGGACAGCTACCCGTACAGTGTAAGCCACACTTGAGTTCACTTCACAAGTCTAGTACAAATCTGTTGACTCAGGGAGTCAGTGTTGTTTGTCTAGTAAAATACATGGCAGAGTTTAAAGATACACAACCTGATTTTGTTTAAGTGCCCTCAAGTCTCTAAATTTCCTCCCAGCTCACTGCTGATGTTTTCAAAAAGTCAATAGTGAGCTTTGGGGATTTGGGGGTGCTACATTAAAATCAGGGAGTGTATCTTTGTAAGGAGAAGGGAAAGCTTAGAGGAGAGAAGTGATACTGCAGCGGGGGAGGAGAAAATCTGACACAACATGACTTACTGAAGTGAGATGTGCGCAGTTTTTTCACAGACTCAGAATACAAGTTAGAAAGTCTGGACATGCAAGACGTCACAGTTGGAATGTCTTTACCAAATCACAGAGAGAGACCAACAGTAAAAACAGTGTTAAGTGCAAAAGAAAAGACAGAGTCTCAGAGGCTTGCTGCTGGATTTCTAATAATAATTTACAATTACGATATATCAGTAAGATAAGATTCTAAAAACTTAAAGAGGATCTGTTATGCTTTACATGCTTTAATGTTTAAAAACAACATTTTCCTCATCCTGTCTGTGCTGGAACAACCGATTTACACGTTCTGTCTGAAACACTCTGTTTCAGCGCCAGTCTCTTTAAGGCCACCGCCCTTCTGAGAAAAAGCCTGCGCCACTATTGTAGCTGGGAAATGAGTATCTCGGTGAATAGCAGCACTTGCTCAAGCAAAAATATGATCCAAAACTGAGGAAAAATGAACATCAGCACCCCAAAGAATTACATGTTTCCCTGATGTTAGCATGTAGCTACATGTAGCAATGTGCTTGCAGCTGGGGATTGACCGTAATAAAATAGAAGTACTTTCAACCGTGAAAAACATCACGATTAAAGCTTGTAAATATGGCTGGACAGATTCCAGCATGATCTAAAATCAGGGAGAAATTTTCAACATCAGCAACCAAGATTTCGTATTTCCCTGATGTTAGCATGTAGCTACATAAACCAGTGTGGGCTACTAAATGTAAACACTTGCAGTGACGTGCCTGGAGCAGATGGCCATATAAAGAAATCTGTCATGATCTGATGTCAGGTTGTTGCTAAAGTAGAAAAAACGTTGTAAAGAGAGTATTTAGAATGATCTGACGCCTTGTGCAGGATTTATACTTCTACGTCAAGTCAATACCGTTGATGTGTCAATGTAGAGCCTACGCCGTACTCTACACCATAGCCTGACGTGCACCTCCCTAGAAATTTAACTACATGTCACGGCGACGCAAACCTCCTGTCTATTTTTATTTTTATTATTTATTTTGTCAGTGAACCTTGTGAGTTGTAATGGAGCCGCATTTTGTAACGTTATCGTCGTTAAATGTTGCTGTTGTCTCTGGCTTCATATGAGAAGAGGAAAAGTCCACTAGCCGCTAAGCTAATTTATATAATGTAAAATGCCATAGGCTTGTGCTAAAAACATTAGCATGTTGTATTTGTGGGGAAAATGTGTCCAGATAAAGACAAGTGTTTGTCTGTGAAGCTGCTGTGTGTACTTGTGTTTGTCTCTATTAAGCCATGTTTAATGTGTGTTTTGAATCAACTAAACTTTACAGCACTTCACAGAAACCCTGCTACCAACTAGTGTTTTGGAGGTGTAACTGCAGTGTGACACAGACACACCACCGCACAGGTATGAATGCTCACAACTGTGTAGGCCACATTTGTAGGTTCCAGTGTAGGGTCTGCATAGAGCTGACGCACAAGTATAAATCCCGCTTTGGGTTTTTTAACACAGGTTTACCTGATTATCTGAAACTTTGGCCACATTTAATATGAAAATCCTTCATTGTAACATCATATTTATGTCAGAAAATAATGATGTAGTATGATAGGTCCCTTTTAAAATGTGCTTTTCATGGCAGAAAATGCAATATAAAAGAATCTTGAATGTAACAGCAGGCCACTGAGACTTAAAAGAATGAATACAAACAGTGAATGACAAAAACACAATAAAAGACATGAGAGAAACAGCCAGGCTACAACAAGCAATGAACATTATCATAAACAGGAATCAAAAAGGAAGTGCTTCTACAGCACTGATATTCACTCTGTCTTTGGTCTGTCCAACTGAACAGATGGAGAATCTGTCAGTGATGCCCCCTGTTGAGGGACAGGAGCTACTGCAGGGGGCGGTGCTCGTGGTGCGAAGTTGAGGCTGCTGCCAAGTGTCAGCCCTGCCTCGCTAACCCACCTCTAACAGCCAGAGCCAGAGCTGCTCAGCTAATAGTTTGGAGTGCTTTAGCAACACAAAGAAATATGAAGTAAGTAACCAACATATAAACATTAATTCCAGGGTCAATAATGTTAGTAAGGGAAAGCCAGTGCAGGTGCTAAACTATGGAGAGTGACCAATAGAAACATGAGACAGATAAAATTGCTGGAGTGCAGCTCACCTCCAGAGGGCTGCCGTGCTTTGCGTGGGGAGCGAGGCTGCCTCTGGTAGGGGTCGGATGGGCTGTAGAGCTCCGACGTGCCCATGTTGAGGAGCAGAGTTTTCTGGAGGTAGTCGACCACAGCCAGACCATTACTGTTTCCAAACACCACACTGAAACACAGCAGGGACACAGTGGAATTAGGATTCAGATGCTATTTTTGGTTTCATAGCCGGGGTGGGCAGATTTGTGGAAAGGGCAAAAAAAAATTGCCAGAATCTGAAAGTACAGCCCTCCTCCCAAGCTCTCCCCACTCAAACCACATACATTAATTTACAGTGACCTGAATGAGTACTTATTATTCACTTCACTCATTGGGATTGTGACTGTGATCCTGATGCCATTATATAGCGGCAATTCTATACTGTGATTCAAGGCTCTAGCTAATGTTGGCTATGTAAACATGAACTTAAACAAGCTATAGCTGTAAGCCTATGGCTACTTTTAATAAAAGGCTAAACTACTAGCGACATTTTCTTTCTATCTTGGAAATGCTTTGCCGATAGATATGTTTTTTGTTTCCTTTATTGTAAGATTCTCGTCAATATCCCTTTTCCATCAAAATAAGAGTGTGTATGTGTCTTTTTTAAACATGGGAAAACCCATTAGAACACACTAGAGCTGTGTGCACGGCTATGCAGTAGACGAAAGTATGCCTTTTTGTTCGTTTTTACTGGTGTGTCATGTTCAACATCATTGACGGGCTGGAAATCAGGTTAGTAAACAGTTGAAAGCAGCATGGAGGCTAGTGAACATGTTACTGTGGTTACTTCTTTTTTATACCTGTTATTTATTCAGTCTCTCTCAAATTCAGTGCCGACTCAATTAAGATCAATGTTAGAGCACTGCTTGGTTGGTTTGCGGCTGCCTGTCATTGCATCACGCTAGCAAAGAGGCTAAAATTGGAGCATCCAGCCAGGTGTCGGATCTCCATCGCTGCCGATCGGAGCCGGTCAGAGCTGGAGCCAATATCTACATGTGACTACTGCAGAGTCATTTGTCTCATGACTGAATGCTGATTGTAACCTTTCCCATTAAATACAAAGCCAGATGTTAGCAGGTGTTGGTGGTTTTTTGTGCAGTGGAAAAGGGGCTTGAGACTCTCTTTTTGGGTTGCTTTGCAGTGTGGGCAGTTGCTGCCAATGCTGGAATAGCAATTTTCTCCGCCAGATTCTCCGCCACTAAATCAAGCTTTCACGAATGTCCACGTGTATCTGCCAACAGGGACACCATCACTCTGAAATGACCTGCGATTGGCCAAATTCTCCTGCTTGATTCCCTAATGCCTGAAAACAGAGCCAAGAGGAGGTGCAGAAATCTTGTTTTCTCTCAGTCCACTTAAATTACAATGTTTAAAAGACTATTATGGGACTTTTGCCCAATGACAAAAAATAAAACCGCTTACCTCAGCTTTAACTCTTAGCTACAATACAGAGAGACTTTATTTACAATTGCACTAAATGGTTCGTTGTCTTCTGTGTGTGTGACAGGATGCACAAATACAGCAACTGGAAAGGGATAACCACCCACTATCAAGACAAGTGTGAAAAAGTGATGTCATGTCATGTCATGTCATAATATCAAGTGTGCTGGCTGCACAGACTTACAGGCCGTAGGAGGAGTTGATAGCCAGGCTGGTGATCTGCTGAGGCGGCTCCCCGCTCACCCACACCAGCTGGATCACCAGCTCCACCTGGTAGCCCGGAGACTGCTTCAGCGGGGAGCTCCGCACCCTGCATTGAACACAAAGCAGGATGAGACAGCAGGCTGCGCTCTACACTGGAATGAATTATCACCCTTTGGGTAAGCCACACTGACAATATCATCCTTTTTTATTATTTTTATTCCCCCTTCTCCCCTTTTACTGTCAAAACATTTTCATCATTTTTAATATTTTTATAAAGAGGATTATTTCCCCTCGGTGCACTGACGTGGAAATGTTGTGAAGAATTGAGCGGCTGACTGGAAGGAGTGAATGGATGACTACATCACTTACTGAAGTTGGTGCGTTCAGTGACAACCTGCTTCACAAAGACCTAATCAGCTGAGCCCATTTTAACCGTTTAGCAAAAACAGAACAAGAAAACGTAATCGTCCATACTGCAGGCATGGGATGTTGTCCCGGGGTCCGTCAGAGGAGTTGCTGCCTGTGGAGGGCTGAGTGGGGGGCTCGCTCTCCTGAGGGCTGGAGGAAGCTCCTGAGGTGGGCAGGGTGGGGGTTTGGTCCCCTCCTGGATCAGGGGAGTCTCCATCACTAAACTCACACTGCATCCGCACCTCCAAAAGCTAAACACAACAGATGATGTGTCACAACAAAGCTCGTTCTTGTATGTATTTGACCGTCACCTCTCAAACCACCTTTGCATACATCTCTTCTGGCATAGGATAAAATTATGCCACAATCTCCTTTCCATAAGTGAAAAAATACAAAGCATAATCATCTGTCTGCTGTCAGATAAGTTTCAAGAATTAAAATCATGATTAACATTTGTCCCAAACTATAATTCTGCATGTTTCTGACGACACACTGCAACAAACAATGATTTTTTACCCACCTGCACAACTTCAGTGGTGATTTCTTGCTTGCTGAACCTATAGATGATGAAGTGGGCGGACACCCCGGCCACACACAGCATCCTGCTCTCAGGGCACCAGGACAAAGTCTGGATGGCAAATGGGTCCTCCTCTACTATATCTGTATTTGCCTTCTCCTCCTTACCGCGAGCCCTCTCAAAAACCTTGGCAGTCTTCAGCTTGTACAGCACTTGGAGCATTACTTTGAGAAGAATGAAAGAAGTTAGAGAGATATGGTGATACACTAACTTCAGTTAACGTACTCATGGTGCATTGACTCAATAGCATATAATGTTTTGTGTTAAAGTCAATAACACAGAGTAGTTCCAGCACCACCTATATTACTTCTTGTGAATTATGCATTATGCTGTTTTTAAAAACAGGTGACATGGAGTTGAAATATTCATTTACACAGATGACACTGTTGTGTATACACAGGCTTAAACAGCAAAGTGAGCTGCTTCAAAGCTTACTATGGACTTGGTGATAGAAAGTCGGAATGTCACAAGAACTGAAACTTTGGTAGTAAGTTGATGCAGAGGTTTAGACAACATGACAGTTCTTGTTTTTATCCAATGTCGCATGTACCGGGAATGCAATTTTCATGAGTCTGATGGAGCACATACGTCGACAATTGTTCCAGTCTGCCGTTAAATGTCAAAGGAAGGAAGAGAATGCCTACCAGCATCGAAGAACAACAACAAGCACATGTAGAAGATTGCAAAAAGCGGAGCTGCAGTGACAGCTCCACCTTGACTCGTCAAAAAAGAAAAGTGTTTTTTTTTTTTCCTGAGGCATTGCTGGTGTTTTCTTTTAATTCTTTGTAGTGGAAGTGCCGTGTATTTACACTAAGCAACTAACACCAGCAGTTTTTCAAGGCGCTGAGCATCTATTCTGCACTGTGAGATGCGGATTTGCCCTTTTTTTTTTGTTCTGGTTGCCGAGTGTTGAAAAATTTGGGTAACAACTTTGGGTAAAACGCTGTACTCGTTAGTGTCACTTTTTACCCAGCCATCCAATCACAGCAGAGCAGGGTCAGGACAAACAGCCGACCACAAACGGCAACCGTCACGTCTTACATGTACAAGTGCGGAACAACAGCAACAATGGAGAAATATGTTAATATACTGTAGGCTATATGTTAATATATGTTTCCTTACCCACAAAATCTCATGAAACCACACAGACAAGTACTCTGTGTTCAAGGCGGATCATTGAGGAATAATAATAAAATGAAATTACATTAATTTCTATGTTATTAATAAAAGAGTGTATGTTTAAGTACATGCGACTGAGGTTTTTTTACAATGGCATCAAATTGGGTATCAAAAATTGTAGAACTTCACTGGTATTGATATAGATTACAAAATTTCTGGTATCGTGACATGCCCAATAGTAAGCTTGATCAATTGTGTTTTATCCTACATGTCAGAAAAACACTGGGTGTACCTCTTTAAAATCAGAGGACCACTTAAAGCTAGCATTCACATTAAGAAGAAAGAGTGACTTAAGTTTAGAAATATATCAAATACATCTTTGTAAATTAAAGGCAAAACAAAAACTTTCCTCAATTGGTGCCAAAATGTCAATGCATAAAATAATTCTTTCCTGTGTACTAACTTTGAATGAAGGTGCCTAAATGGCCATTTTATCTGCAAATCCAACATTTCAACAAGTCATACGAATCCTAATCAGTATCATCACTGCACCATAGTCTATGATTGTGTCTAATATTCAAAATGTTACCTAGTTTAACAACAATTTAACAATTCTCCAGGACATGGATTTGTCTGAACAGAAAAATGTGTTTATCTCACTTGATGATATGGACGTGTATTATCACTGCTTTGATTGTACATATGTAAGCTTTTAACTGTAACCTGCGACATGACCTCTGGTGGAAACGAATTAAGGCACAAAACCTGCATTAAAGCTTCCTACAATTAAATTTAACAAAGTAAATAAAACTACTCACATGCAGAAGCATCCCAAAATTTGATCGACCCGTCAGCATGTCTAAAAACATTGAAAAAGAAAATGTAAATAAAAATAAAAAATAAAAAAAATACGGGATAATTTGTTCACTTTGATTAAACCTGTATGCATGTGAATAAAATCAGTGAATCAAAACAACAAAGTGATTCAATGATTCATTAATAATTAGTCACTAACCCAGTGATTATGATCTCTGGGTAACTCTGAGTGCCTTGACCCCAGTTTCCTCCACTAATGGGCCACTCCTGTGAAAAGACCAAAACAAATGTTAACTTTACTTTGATTTTTGCAGGCTTCTTTCAGCATGGTACCACTTTAACAGCATATGTGTCTCCAAAAATAAATTCCAGTGTTCAGTGCATTTTAACCACAGAATACACAGAGGAGTCATTTACCTTCTTGCTGTAACCTTGTCTCTTTTGCCGGCTGCCGACAGAGTAAAGTGCAGGAATAAGTTCAGCAGGGCAGTCAACAAAGTACTCGCAGCAGGTCACTGGTGACTCATGGATAGTCAGAGGATATGGATTCTCAAATATCGGGTACCTGTCAAGACAACGGGCCACAGGTGAGATATTAAAACAGCTCCATCTTCACAGTATCTGCACTTCTCTGTCAAATTGACTTATAGATGACAACTTGGACCACTTGGAATGCAAACACTGCACTCTGACACTCAAATATGCAGTATACTTAAAGGGACAGTTCACCCCAAAATCAAAGACACATATTTTTCCTCTTACATGTAGTGCTGTTTATCAGTCTAGACTGTTTTGGTGCGAGTTGCAGAGTGTTGGAGGTATCAGCTGTAGAGATGTCTGCCCTCTCTTTAATATAATGGAACTAGACTGCAAATCATGACCTGGTTACTAAAGATAATCCACAGCTGTGAGCATGTAGGATCTTTTTTGTTTCTACAGAACTACACTCGCTAACCAGACCACCATGTAGGAGGATGCATGCATCTACTCATGGGCGAGAGGCTTGTACTTCTGACAGAGGGAGATGTAAACTCTGACGGCGTCCTCCTCAACTGAGCTGTAACATTAGCTAGCTCAGTGGTGCTAGGTGAGCTAGCAGTAGATGCACACTTCCTTCTGCATGGTGATACAGTTGGCGGGTGTAGTTTGGTAGAAAGAAAATAGCTCCTACATAAGACTGCTCACAACAAGGTCTGTGGATTAACTTGAGTAACTGGATAATGATGTTTGGAAAGAGACATTGCCATCTAGGTTTTCAAAAACATTTTTTTTTTGCTTTGAGCACCACGAGTGCCATCTAGTTGCATTATATTCAAGAAAAAACAGACATCTCGACAGCCGATATCTCCAACACTCTGCAACTCACACCAAAACAATCTAGATTGATAAACAGCGCTACTACTGGGTGCTATAACAAAATTGAGGACTGAACCTTCATCATTCATGTTGGCTTGGTTGCCCTCAATTCATCAAATTAACTGGGTGAATTTTTTTATACACCCACCGACAGTGCAAGCTAGCAATAAAGACTTTTCAAGAACAGGACAAAGATGGGATTTAGTATTAAAAAATGTTTTTTTAACCATTTAATTTGCATAAAATTGGAAACACAGGTGCAATACACACATGGAAAAAGTAATAAACATTAAGAATATAGTAAAAAGACTTTAATTCATGACTGTAAAAATAAGTTTGGCCATGACGCTGAGCTAGTTTGCTGTTTCTGTTAAGTAGCTGTCGGTTAGTCACTCACTCTAGAGCAGGAAACAGCCCTTCAAAATAAAAACTCTGTGCTGGAAATTCAATATACTTCAAAATAAAGTGTGTTTTTTTACAAATTTGACATGTTGAGAGCCACTTGCGGTCCTTTCAGAGTGGACCCACGACCCACTTTGGGACCGTGACCCACCAGTTGGGAACCACTGCTTTATAGAATAGGAGTAGGTCAAAAATAGACATGACTGTGACAGCTGTTCTGTATTCTATAAACTCATTATACTTATCATACATGTCAGAGATGGATCATGACTTAGTGTCCTTTTTCTTCTGTTCATTTAAGTCTGAAAGGTTTGATTCACACATTTCCGACAATATAATTAAAAATTCAGTGGTATCTCTTGTATGCTGCACTTCAATATAATAAGCTTGATCTGCAATACCCATATTCCTCCATGCACACCAAAAATGCTCTAACCAGACTATATTTAGAAAGCAGAATAATTACCCAATCTGTCCGAGGTCTATTAAAACTAAATCCTTCTCGAGGAGGACCACCACAGCATAAGGCTCCTGAAAGTCTGGCAAAAAGAACCAAAACAGCACAAAATTAACAATGACGTAATGCCAGGGAGCCGATACAGATCCTCTCCGGAGCGGAGTGCTGCAGCTCACCATTTGGATACGGAGTTTCACACAGCGTTAGGAAATCTACGATGGGGTAGTCCATCTCCAGGACAGCAGTGCTCTTTCCATGCATCACAGTCAGACAGGCTCTCCTCCCCACTGTATCGTAAGACAGACCTCCGGACAGCACCATGAATGGGTCCCTGAGGTCAGAAACACACACACACACACACAAACATTTTAATTGCTTATTCAATATTTTTTTAGTTTGTTGGGAAAAAGCTACAAGGTTCAATCAGTGGTATATTGGCGAGGAGGGACACCGATATTTTACTGATGTGCTTCCTCTGGAGATACTTTGCCCCCATTTCAAGAGCATTTATGATGGGAGGAGCCTACTTTTTAATTATAATGACAACTATATTAATCCCTGTCCTGAGAAAAAAAGTGAGGGATAATTAGATCAGCTTCAGTGAAACAGTTAATTTTTTATGACATGTTTTTACAGGAAACTTTTTGTCTTTTTACTGTGTGACCTTGACGTAACAAGCTTGTTCTCTTCATGTAATGATAATTGTGTTAATAGTGATCACAATATAATTAACATGTGACCTCACTGGAGCGACAAATCATTTGCCATGATCACAAATAATTTATTTAACAGTCACAACAACCTGTGAGAACAAAAGAATAGTAAGACAAAGGCCTTCCCAGCTCTCCACTAGCAGAATGATACTGTCTACATGACCGGTCTGTTGTGACAGAATAACAGGAAAAGCCACTTTCAGTACAGGATATGGATTCAAACCGGAGTCGGTTAAAGCACAGGATGGGTGGGGACTTGCTACCATCGCACTTACCCAGCCCTTGTTGTTTTGTACTCCACCTTCAGGATAGGCTTGCATGGTTCTGGCTTTTTTCCATCCTTCGGCTGCTTTCCTGGTGGAAGTCAAATAGCAAAAATGCTTTTACTTTCGTTTACAGAAATACACTGCACATAAAGTAAATACGCTCGTGTTCACATATGGACAATCTGCCACCATCCATCTGTCTCTGTACGAGTCACACCTCTTAGATTGGAGCGACTTTGAGCTGTTATATGTGCTTTTAAAGACATAGATGGCTCCTGTTCAGTATGTGAGCGAATATAAACAATACACCTGTGTGTATGCAAGAGTTCGTACCATGTGGCGTGATGATCTGTGCAGGCTTGGCCGGGGCTCGTACATTCCATGTGGTCAGAGTGCCATCAGAGTGGCTGCAGACAAACTGTTTACCCTCATGGTGCCAGGCGACTGAGTGGATCGCCTGAAAGACACGCAGCAGCCCATCGTTAGAGCGTGATAAATGAAGTGCATGCACATTTTACAGCTGTGCAACAACAAATAAGATCTGTAGAAGCTCTGTGAGCAACCTATTTAAAGGATAAAGCTGGATTATTGTATGCTTTTCTTATTGCCAACTAATCCCATGACAAGACCAAAACCAACAGTGCATTAGTCCGACTGTAAAACCTTTAACTTGCCCAGCCTGTCTGAGGCACACCTCGACCATTCATTCCTACTGAAGACAAAAGTCTTTGAAAATTGGTCTTAATTATATACTTGCATCTACAAAAGCTGCACACTGTAGATTTTAGGTAAATACTGTATTTGTTGGGGACTACATTCACATGTGGATTATAAACATTTGCTGCACTAACAAACAAGTCTCTTTGGCAGCAAGGCGATGTTTGTGGGACTGGCTCAAAATAAACTACATGTGTTGATCAAATAATGGAAAAAACAGTGTGGCACGCTGACCTGTTTTTAATTGTTTTTGGACAACAATGGGGCTCTGTGGCACAGAGGAAGAGGATAGATCAGGCTTTGGCTACAGTGGCAGTGCCTGTTTGTAGAATCTGTTGGTTTTGATCTTTTCATAATAATAATGATAACAATAAAAACAACTTTGTTTCTAATCAAAATGATTACAATAATAATAATAATAATAATAATAATAATAAGCAGAAGAATATATGTTTGCCTGTTTTATGTATTACATCATTTGTGGAGATGTGTGTCAGTTTGTATTATATATGTTATGGTACTTGTTTTGGGGGAGTCAGTTAACATTTTTTGATTGATTGATTGATTTCTGGAAGACGGTAAGACAGTAATCCAAAGGATGACATGCTAAAGTAAAATATTTATTTCCAGCATGGTCCTTGATGTCAATAGAAAGTCTAAATTGGTGGCCAGAGGCTTAGCCATGACTACGTGACCCCCAGATATGTATACGTGACGTGTACCATGCTGTGTGTTGCTATATGTTATTTGTCCCAGTAAAAAACAAATAAATAAATAAAAATAAACTTTATTTTGTGTTACAAAGTTTTTTAACAAAAGGAAATAATTTAATTTATTTTAATTTAATTCAATTTTAATTTTATATACTTTATTAATCCACTGGGGGAAATTTAAATTTTTTCATTTTTTTAACTTGACAATTAAGGCCAAAAGTCAGGAGCACAGAGCAGTGATACTGAACTTACGGCCCATGGGCCAATTGTGGCCCACAAAAGGGTGCCAGATGGCCGACTAACCATTTTCTAATCCACAATAGAAATAAATTGATTCCCAATGGGATTTTTTTTGTATTTTGAATATAATAAAGGAACTAGTGTGCAAAAAAAGAATCAAAATATAGCTTGTTTGGCAAAAATAAATAAATAAAGGGCCAGGGGAGGATCCCCCAGACCCACCCGACAGAGATCAGGGCTAGACCCCAAATGTCCTTAAATCCTAGACACACCCTGCATACATCTGCCTTTTTATTAAATATTATTTTTTGGAATTTTGTGTTTATTAGACAGGACAGATCCAGAGTGAAAGAGGGAGAAAAGTCCTTGTACATGTGGCATCTGCTCAACTAGGTGAGCTAGTGGGCACCCATACACCTGACTTGTGAGGGGCTGATGTGACTGAATGTCCCTCTGACAAAGATGAGTGAGGACAGCAAATGTGGAAAGATTGAAAAGTTTATGAAGTGGCCCCTTGCTTCCATCATTTTGCAAAAGTGGCCCTCAGGCAAAGTCTGAAGAAGAGCAAGAGACTCAGTGTGTCTGAGTTCAGAAGGCAGAGTTAGTGTGAGGACTCCCTTTGTCGCAAACTGTGATCTGAGAGCAACCAGCAGGGCTCCATATACAGATCTTAATGGCTGAGAGGGCACATGCCAGGTCCATAAATCACATATGTATTTAGGAGTAAGGTCGTTTAAGGACTTAAGTAAGCAATAAAAAATTTAAAATCAATTTGGAATCAAAGAGGGAGCCAGTGTAAGGAGGCAAGCACAGGGGTGATGTGATCATGCCAACTGGAAACAGTGGAGGGAGCCCTGGCTCATACCCGAAGAAAGTGTGTTACAATTATCAAGCCGGTACAAGATAAAACCATGTGCAACTTATTGTGGATGATAAAAATGACCTAATTTTAGAGATTATCTTGAGCTGGAAGAAACAAGACTGAACAACATGTGCAGCGACTACCATCAATGAAAAAAGCTGCCAAGAGGCTCGTACTGTAACTGTGACTCCTTCAATGACATTCATGCTTAAGTCCAAAGATGCGTTTTGTGTGCTGTCAACAGAAAAGATCAGACCCAAAAACTCACCCTGTTGGTGTAAAAGCAGCCATGCCAGTAAATGAACAGATAAAATAATATGAAACCACACCCTGTGCTAATTACAACTACCAGAAGTGATAGTGACCAAAAGAACATGTGCAGCCTGAACAAATAATACACAACAGATGTTAAATACATATTCTGGCACCTACATGGTTGACTTGATCATCAGAAGAGAGGTTAGCATCAAATATTACCTATAGATTCACAGCAGCATGCTTATTTCTTTTTGAGCGACCGCCAAGATCAGCACCATGACTTGATTCAAGGGATGAAAATCAGAAGAATATAAAACATCACCAGACGTGTGCTTTAACACTTCTTCTCATCTTCTTAAAATGCAAAATTAACTTAAGTATGACCTGAATCATCTAGAAAACTGTCATATTTTCAAGTATTTGATCCACTGGATATCATAATTTCAGTCTGTATAGCATGTGAATAACAAACATTTTTTCTTCTCTGTGTCACACTCAGTTATCACCAAAGGTCACACAGTATATAAGCTCGTGAGATACAATCACACAGTGGCCCAATGAGAGCCTCTGTTCAGTCACATGTTGATGAAGTGACAGATCATGCAAAACCTCACAAGACCAAACATGTTGCTGGGAAACTACAGCGAGAGAACTGTGAACAAACTAACCAGGAACCTCACAAGAACTGAGTGCAAAGAAAATAAAGCCTTACCTCATCATAATTGTAGCGGTAGTCAGCCTTTTTGGACTTCAAATCCCACAACACCACAACCCCGCACTCAAATCCAATCAGGAGCTGCAACAACACGAAGCAAAGCAGAGCTCAGCTGACTGCTGTTAAACCACAGACTGCACATATAACTCAGCCTGGAGTTTACACAACTGTAACATCACTGACTGAGATGTTCAAAGGATCGGCCATCTTTAACATACAAAACTTTATTTTCCTCATAATTTCTCAACTTTTTCTTCAAAGGTTTTTCTAACAGGCACATTCCTAACACACAGTAAGCAACAACTCATTAATGACTAATTACATATACAAATAAATCCTATTGCAGTTGTGTAATTGTGTGAGTTTACAGACAGCAGTGGATTTCTAGAGGAATTTACTTGAAAAAACTGTTTAATTAAATTGAAAACTCCGAGTGATTCAAGTGAGATCCATTTAAAACCCAAGAAAATATTATTGAAAGTGATTAACTGTGTTCCATATTTGATGAATTGTAAGCCTTCCCGTGGAGAACCAACTAACAAGTCTATTTTACCAAATTTATTTTATGAATGTGCATCAACATACACGTTCCTTTCTAATAAGTTATGCCAAATCAAAGTGTTACCAAATACACTGACAACAGAAGAACCTAATACTCTGAAACAAGGTTTGAATTTTTTTTGTCTACCTGCCGCTGTGGCTGGTGGATGCCAAGAGTACCATTGTTTTTGCAGGTGGTGAGTGAAGCAAATCTATCAGCCACTTGTATATTTTACCAGCATTTGGCTGGTGGCTGGTACTAATTTCCAACCTTGCTCTGAAACCATTTTTATTATTCTTATGGCATTTTCATTTATCGTATAATTGATGGTTTAGAGGCTGTCCCCATCCCTTCACCATTATTGATTAATTAACACTTTGTGATATTAACCCTTTGAAACCTGGAGCAACATCACTTTTCTTGTGATGCTTTCAGGCGCCTTTCACCTTTTAAGTATTTAAACCTTTTAACCCTGAGAAAATTGGAGTGATTTCTTTTTTTCAAAAACAAGGGGGAAAAGGAAATGAGCAACTTGATAAGAAATGCCCCACAAAGTGCAAAAAAGTAAATAATTTAGGAAAATATTTTTAAAAAATTCGGAAAAGAGAAAAAAAGCTAGGGAGATTTATAATTATAATGATTAATACATTTTAAAATCATGTTACAGAATTATTATAATTTCAAAGCACTCTTTCCAGGTCATTTGTTTGTATCTTTCTTTCTTTATTTTAACTAATTTTCTTGTTTTTTTTATTTTATCTTTCTACTAATTAAGTTTTTGGGTCATTTCTTTTTTTGTTGCTCATCTTATCTTATCATTGCCTTCTCTCTATGTTTTTAAAAGAAATCAAGCCAATTGGCTCAGGTTTTAAAGGGTTAAATGCAGAAGCTCAACAAAATACATTAGAAAAAACAAAAATCTTTCAAAAACCTTAAAGGTAAAGTTCAACCCCAGACCAAAAAATACATGGTTTCCCTCTTACCCGTAGTGCTATTTATCAGTCTAGATTGTTTCAGTGTGAGTTGCCAAGTATTAGAGATAATGACTGTAGAGATGTCTGCCTTCTCTTGAATATAATGGAACAAGATGGCACTCAGCTCGTGGTGCTCACCATGCCAAAGGAGGCAAGCATCTGCTGCTAGCTCACCTAGCACCACTGAGCTAACTAACATTACAGTCCAGCTGAGGAAGACGCCACTGTTAGGAGCACCAGCCTCTCGTCTATGAGTAGATGCACACTTCCTTCTGCGCAGTGAAACAGCTGGCAAGTTTGGTAGAAAGAAAATAATTCCACACAAAAACAATCTAGACTGATAAACAGCGCTACAGGTATGAGGAAAAATGTGTGTGATTCTGGGGTGAACTGTCCCTTTAAAATAAGCAGCATGAACCTGATGCATTCAATAAAAGAGATATACAGGCATAAACATTTGTCAAGTTAGGTAAGTATTACTAGTAGGCGTGCATCACATCCCTCACTTATCAGACTTAACAGGTGCAATGCATTCTGGTCCATTGAGGCAGCTGTTTCTAAAAAACAAAATCAGTATCTCCACCTGTTCTGCCATGATTTTCACTGTGTAGCATCGTGAAAGCTTTCTGTAAACGATTAGTCTCGGAGGAAACCTCTTCTCTTTGATTTTGACACTGAAACTTGCTGTTTACCATTGACATTTTAATTAGCTGAAAATGTTCTGCTATCATTCTCCATTATAGCTGCACGAGCTGTATCGACGTTGAGTTGTCTGCAGCAGAGCAGTTAACCATGGTGAAATAGGAAAGTACCACCGCCACCAGATAACAAAAGAATGTGCAGTTTTGTTTTAGGCTTTAGGGTATACATTTATCTCTGCTCCACAGGGCTATGTGGTGGTCAACTGTCAGTTACCTTTCCTTCATCCATGGGGTTATCACTGATGTGCACCACAGGCCCTGGGTGAGTCTTGGTGGATCTGTGCATGTTTTAAGAAAGAAGAAAAACAAGGAAGTGTGTCAGATTGACATGATGTACACTTGACGAGAACAATGTATCTGATAAATGTTGTCTGATACATACTGTGTAGCTTTTAGAGGGAGAGAAAGATAGGGAGGCAATTAGGAAAGACGTGCAAAAAGTGAACAAAAAAAGAATAAAAGCCAGAATCTCTGCTCGTGCACAAAGAAAAACAGCGAGAATATAGGATGAAACTGTGCATCGGTGCACCAGAGAGAGACATGACATATGAGGGAGACAAACAGAGAGAGAGAGAGCAGGGTCACATGAGGGTCTATGAGAGATTATGGTGTGCGGAGACAGCATCACCGTGGCAACAGAGCAAGGGGCATGGAGGAAGTGAAGGTCTGGCCTAAAGAAAGTGTTGCTGCCTGTGAATGTGGTCTGGCTCCAGTGGCTAATGATCTCATTGCTGCTGATGAGTCGATACAGTCAGAGATGTAGCAGTGAATAAAAGGAGAGGGATGGACTGGAATATGAACTCCAGTCTGTAATCACCGCACGATACACCACCAAGGACTGTTTTAATATATAATAAGTACAGTATATATTAATGTATACTGTATGTTTTACAGTCTTAAAAATAATTATGTACATGTCATTTCCCCTGCATAGATTAACGGACTGGAAGAGGAGGTGGACACCATTTTAAAGCAACAATAATAAGCCTAAGTGAGCTCATGTTCCACTATAACTCTAACTATGATCACAGAGAACACAGCCTGTTTCCGGCCACTGCAGGAGACCTCGACTGTGAATCCACAAGTTTGCCGAGACAACAAACTACGAAGCAGGAAGTGTGTCGCAAAGACATTTCTATCAGATATCGGACAACTCTTCAACAAGGAAACGACTGAATATTATGTTTTAAAATTCACACTGCAGCCAGGAGCTCTTTTCTTTAATCATTTTTCATAGTCTCACAGCCAAAAATCATTTCTCTGCGCCTCCGCTGTCTGTTTCTGAGACATTTATCTGAGCTGATGGCATACTTTGCTGTTTTAGATCTGGGAGTTGAAAGTGCCAGAACACCAATTTATCACATTTCACCAGCAGCCTCATGCACACACACACACGTTTATACTCTACTTCCAATTTTAGCTGCCAGTCACTGTCTGAAATTAATTTTTCTTTAGCTCACTTGTGGGTGCGCTAGAAAAATTACCTGGAAAGAGCAACTTCTGCTGGCTTAAGTGTCTCATTTTTCCTGAAATAATAGTCACACTATTCACTTTCAGCGCTTTATCATGCACAGACTCAGGCCCATCAATACTATTATAACCAAGACATTTAAAAGTTACTACCCAGTAGGTCTGTCACTGAAACTACTTCTGCTGGAAGATACATTGTCCCAGAAATAACTGTGATAAAAAAAATATTACTGTCATTTTGAAACCATTTTATGCCACTGATATAATGACAATATTGCAGTGTAAAAATGCAAGTACACCCTTTCAAAGAGCAGTGAACTTCAATTCTTAAGAATATTCAGACATTGGAATATGGTAAAAACAAACAAACAAAAAAAACAACCTTTTTCTTTTTAAATAATTAACACCTGTTAATATACACAAGACAATACTTATAAAATTATGTTAACTTTACAGGAGTAGTCCAAAATTACTCAGCTGGAGACTTAATACAACAACAAAACAAAGTGATGCCTCTTTTGACTAAAGACCCACCAGACACACCAAACCTACAACAAAGAACTAGTGGCAATGAAGGTCAACTGATGCGTCGCCTCACATTTCCAGTGTCTTGGCCAAAAAGTTGCACTTGAACACACCGCAAAGATTACACAAAGCAGCCAACTAGTACGTACATTCTGCACCTGCAAGAGGAAATAACTCTCCATACCAACAGGTGGAGGTAGTCTGTATTCACCATTCAAAAAGGGAACCCAGAAGACCGACAGGATGGATTCAAGATATTAGTTAGCCAGCTAGCACATTAAAAGACCAAATGATATTCACTGTGTGCCACTGAGGTCTTTGCTCAGTGGCTATTAACATAATTTTACCTAACATAACAAGTTTGTTTGTTTGTTTTCTCACACCCTCTTGACATTAGACATTTGTTTACTTTCCTCACTTCCGTTTCTCTCCTCATGTATTGAGCTTAACTAGCCTGGTAAGACCATCCTGATGACGTGAGCTAGACATTCTCTTTCGCTCTCTGTATCAATCTGGACTCACTGCCGCCCCAAACGCTTTCCAGAAATTAAAATCAGGGCCAATGAGAGATCTGCTCCATAGTTGACAATATAAGCAGCCAATCAGGGACTATGTTGTAGTTGATAATGTAAAATGCAGGCCGCAGCTTGCAGATCAGTAATGGCAGCCCACGCTCCCTAGTAGAGTAAACACAGCTATAAGTGAAGTTACTGCAGAAATAGAACCAATAACAACAATTAAACAAGGACAAGAGTTTGCACTCGTAGAGTTTCTCGGAGGAAAAGATGTTTTTAGCAGTTCTTCTCACTGCATTTGCATCAACAGCTTGATTTGTCAGCTGGCTCATTTGGTGATGGAGACGCTGTTCCCTGGTATTCTGTTAAAGTGATTAGCTGAAGGAGTTTGTCCATCATGGTGAGTACTCCCGCCCACTGAAAGTGTTTTGGGCGGCAGCGAGTCCAGATTGATACATGGAGCGTAACAGAGGGTTGAGCTCACGTCATCAGGATGGTCTTACCAGGCTAGAGGTGAACTGCCAATCAGAGTGAGGTATTGAGAAGAATCTACAGGCAATGAAATGTGTTTATCACCTAATTCAGTGATAAACATATTTCATTTCCTGTAGATTCTTCTCAATAAAAGTCCGCCATTACATTGTGGTGTAAAAACTTTTATTGTGAAGCAGCAAAACAAGAAATTGTTGGGTTTTCATCAGCAGTAACTTAACGCAACTCAACACAGCTGAAAGGGGACATCAAACAGTAAAGTAAAGCAGATATCTGAAGTACAAATAGAGTCCAGGAGAGAAACTAAACTCCACACCACAGAGATTCAGTTAGAAGCTACAAAAGTACTGAGAGCTGAATGCACAGACTTTTCAAAATGCTCTTCTATCTGGTCTCCGGCACAGACAGATGCAAGTTGAGTCTTGCAACACACGCTCGTTTCAGAGGGAGGAGGGGGGGATTGCCAGGGGTTGGTGACTTTTGGCCTGACTCCAGACATGGTCCATCTCAGGCACAGCTCAGCATGTTAAAACTGACAATGCAAACGCAAACTGGCATGGCATGATTTGATCTGGCGCTCAAGGAACACCGTAGTTGCCACCATACACTGGACGATGCGTTGCACTTGGCTGCCAGGGAACAGACAGCCTGGGAGCTGGGCAGTCTGCTGGTGGATTTACAGAGTGGAGGATGAAGTTGTTGGAGAGTAGAACTACAAACAACTGACTTTTTGGCAGGTTATAAGAGTTGGCAAACTAACTACTGTCAGGACTGTGCCTCTTCTACTCCAAAAGTACAGTTGCAGACTACCGGTAAACTTCGCTGTGTGTGTTGTGTTATCCATCCCTACCTACACACACAAGTAGCCGGGGGTGGAGAGAGAAAAAAAGGGAGAATCGCTGCGCCCAGGTTTTATAATGGTCGGGGAACCCTGCTGTTAATTCTGGCAACATGGTGGCAACTTTCCTATGTAAACAAACATATGTGTATTCACCACAGGCAATATCGAGGTCAGCAAAATGATCAAGGTCATGTCCATATATTGGACTATAAGTCAATATCATAATTATTGTGACAGGCCCTCGACTCAGTGTGTTGAGTAACATTGACTTTCTCCACCAATATTGAATTCTACCTGCATGTGGCGCCTGCCAAGTTACATCTGAACCCTGCAGGAAATGCAGTACATTAACCGATACACAGGATGTGATGTAAAATCCCTGTGATCCTTAAAGTGGGTGTTTACACGGGGGAGTGGGTGACACAGGATAAGGCACTGGGGTTATCAAGTGGGCACTTCCTATCACAGATGTTCCGTTAAATCAGGCAGCAAACACCTCCAGAAGTCTCAACAGCAAGTTCTGGCATGGCACAATCACCACCTCCGTTCCGCCCTCACACTGATCAGAGCTACAGTATTCTCAGCAAACAGGACACACTGTATCTGCTAGCACATTCCTCTGCATTTCAGAGTTTCCTGGTCAAGTGTCAACTCACACAAGTGCACAAAGAAGATATGCAAATGGACAGAAAGTGAATGAGAAAAAAAAGACAAGTTGTGCAACAGAGACTCACAGTTCGATGGCTTTGTTCCACATGATGACGTAGCCTGAGAGAGTGAAGGACTCCACGTTGACAATGTGGATGTTTCCTCTTTCTGTGCCGATGTAAAGCCATTTGCTCTGGAAGGGCAGGTGGCAGTATGTGATTCTGCAAGAGGAGATCAGGCTTTTCATTATCTCATGACTCAATCCCGTCAAAGAGTCACCCTTGTCCCTAATCACACTGCTACAACTGGAAGGAGTAGAGAGTGACTAAGATTTAATTACAAAGGCCTTGCTCTGTGTCACACTAATGAAGCCAGACTATATATAGATCAGTGGGGAGGAACAGCGGAGTAAACACTGCTGTCTTTTCTCAACTGGTAGGAAGAAACATCCAGTCAAACACCACATTTACGGTGTCAGATGGACAGGGCAGATGTTCCCTGTCAAATGTGTTTGACTGTTGATCTGCTCATACATCATATGTCATCTCACAGGTGATACTGCATCAGATTTTGATTGAACATGGAAACTTGGATGATTTACTTTGTCTCTCTACATTTACTAAATGTTAGCATCAACTAAAGCTTAATTAACTGAATCTGTTGGCCACATGGAGGCAAAGACACAAACTGAAAACATACCATTTACCTTGCAAAATTGTTATGGTGAATAACATGAATATCATAAGCATTCAATTTAAGTCATATTTTCAGCCACCTGATAAAGTTCTATATTCACTCTCTTTAAAGCTCTGTTTTTGGTCTCTACCAACTCCTGAAAAACACATATGTGGGGCAGCTAGGTGCAAACTCTGTGTGCTGTTTGATGCTGTACAGGTAGCACACAACAAGTTTATACTGGTGTTTTATTAGTCTGTATACTTTTTTTGTTTACCTCCATTCATTCATTCATTCATTCATTTTCCATAACCGCTTATCCTGTTGGGGGTCACAGGGTGTGCTGGAGCCTATCCCAGCTGACACTGGGCGAGAGGCAGGGTACACCCTGGACAGGTCACCAGACTATCACAGGGCTGACACATGGAGACAGACAACCATTCACACTCACATTGACACCTATGAGCAATTTAGAGTCACCAGTCAACCTGCATGTTTTTGGACTGTGGTAGGAAGCTGGAGTACCAGGAGAAAACCCACGCTGCCACAGGGAAAACATACAAACTCTGCACAGAGGTGCTCCCCCATTCTGAGGTTCAAACCAGGAACCCTAGTGCTGTGAGGCAATAACGCTAACCACTGCGACACCATGCTGTCATATTTTCAGCCTCTTGACGAATAAAAGTACAATATTCACTCTCGTTTTAGCTCTGTTTTTGGTCTCTACCAATTCCTGAAAAACACATACATAAGGTAGCTAGTTGGGAACTCTGATAGACAGGTAGCACACTACAAGATTATACTGGTGTATTAATAGTCTGTATACTGACATTTTATTTACCCTTTTTTTATGTAATTGTTTTCTTTTTGTAAAGCACTTATCATAATCGTTGATTCATCTTTTAGTGCTGCTTTAAAATTTGGAATTTTAAAGGGATACAATGCAGGATTTTCCTAAAAAAAATGTATGGACTAATAAACTATAAAAGTAACCCCTTTAAAACATCACTTATGACCCACTCTTGTGGTGTGGTTATGTATTAATCTGCAGAGACTGCCCTCTGCCTGTATTTTCTTCCTATTTTTGCTTTGATCAGGACATTCATGGGCGTGTATAGCTCTCAGCTGATAAAAGCACACAGGTGAAGTCAAGACTTAACATAAAGGTAGCGCCCCGACAGTAGCAGCATGAAAATTGCGGACACAGCGCTGGAAAAATGCAAATATAGCGAGGCGAAATGCCAAGTGGACAAAGCTCATTCCAAAACAAGACTAAATCCTGTATTGGCTTTCATTGTTAATTTTACTGGAGAGCACTGTAGGAGAAGATTAGCCTGTTCTCTGTTGCTGCTAGCTTCCTTAGCTTGATAAAATATCGGTCTTTTTATCCCCACAAATGTAAAGCACACTTGTAGCTTGCCGTAGATGTACAAGTACTGAAGGAGGGCCAAAGCCAAGTTTGAATGTTGTCTTGACAAACACTATACTTTTAAACTTTGAAAAGAAAATAGCCTTCAAATGATGGTCGATGGATTAATGAGTAAAAAAAAAATTTTTAAGCCATACATGTAGATTATATTCCCAGAAAAGTAATATTGTTCTCACTGGCTGGAAGGCACCAGTATTTAACTTTGACCTCATGAATTCATGTTGGGTGTTTGGTTTAAAGCCCAGTTCAGACCAAAGATTCGCAACGAGACAAAACCATTTCAGAACATCGGAGAGAAAAGTTGCAGCGGTGTGAACTGGCCGGACTGAGCTCAACTAAAGTTGGCTGATGGTGTTGCCTGCAACTCAGCCAATCAACCAATCAGCTTGTAGTGAAGTCCGCTGGTCAAGTCACAGTGCGTTCTCTTGCGGTGGCAGGTGCTCCAAGCCCTCTGTTTCTGTCCTTGTGTACCGCTGTCGGAAGGTGGGCCACTGCTGCTGCTTGCTGTATGCACTTATGCCCCCTCACACACACATTCTCATTGACTGATTAATTGGCGCTGCTTACTCATATTAGTGTGACATATTTATTACAGTCCATCTGATGCTCATTTTGTTTGTTTTTCACCGTTTCATCACTACTACAAATGCAGCTATAGCCAGTATCTCACTATCACTATCCTCATTCATATTTTAAGAAGCTACAAATTATATTCAGCCACAAAATAAGCCTGAAAAACTGCAAATCAGAGCAGAAGTACAGAGTCGCTGCATAGAGATGATACACCATCTCATCTAGTTGCATTGGTCTGAATTGGGCGTGAGAGGGAAATACAAGTTTTCTTTTACAGAACAAGACAACACTGATGCAATATGTTTTTTTAAAACATAAGGGCAACAACACTGTTAACTATCCACAGTGTAGCATGTGGCCAGCTGTGAGGACTGTTTCCAGACAGTGTCACACTTCACAAAGCAACAGATGCATCGTCACTGCAAACAGAGACGCAGAGAGAAGTTACCGTACCTCTCCCTGTTGAACTTGAGAGAATGCAGGATTGCAGGGATTTTTTGCCTCAGGTTCCACAGGTGGATGCTGTCATCAGCTAAGGCACTTACCAGCGCCCCCTGTGGAAAGGGTCAGAAACAGGCGGGTTGTTAGGATTCACAGAACACCTTGTGTGTGCTGTTGTATCATGAACACACAACTATGGGGGCATTACAGAAGCATGTGGGTAACAAAAATAGCATAACTGTTTGCTCAGTATGTTCGATAAAAGCTCACACAACGAGAGGAAAAACACTGAATTAGCACCAGGACTGCATAATTAAATATTACTTAAAATAATTATAATTATAAAATGCAAAGCTTTATTTGCATTTAATGATGAAAAATGTATGAATTAAGTGTAATAAGGAGCTGAGGCTGAACAGGTTTTGCAGTATTTACAAATGTGTACATTTTCTGGTGTAATTTACATTTATTTGCATTTTGTAACAGTATATATGTAAATATATATTTTCTCTGTTCTGTGTTTTCTATTTAAAGGTTTCTCAGCTAATGACTAATGGCGTTAATGGAACTAATGGAACAATTTAACTTAACTATTAAACTAAACTGCTGAACCTTCAAAAACAAAAGGAGAAAAAAGGAAGAGCTGTTTGGGCATCAAGCAGAATCCTGTTAAAAACCTTCGGCTGGATGGATCAATCCGTTTCAAGTGGGGAAGCTGCACATAATCTTAAAGGATAACGTGCCAGTGTCTACAGTGACGACTATTAAGAACATGGACAGACAAAAGCAGGAGACAGGGGACAGTGAAGTGTAGTGAAGGGGTGAGGAGAGGTGAGGAGGAGAAGGTGGAGAGAAAACCAAACAAGGAACAAGGCAACAAACCTCGTTGATCAGGAACTGGAGCTGGATGACAGCCGCACCGCTCTCATGCTGACAGTAGCACTCCACGCCCGCACGGCCGAAGCTAAAAGTCAGCTCAGTCAAGGAAAACTGGACAGTTGAAGTTCATGCAGACATGTGAGGATGTATATTATCTGATACATTAACACTGAACAATCCATGTTTGAATTAACACTAATAACTTTCTAAAATCAGTTCCAGCCGACTGTAGGTGTTTTCATATATATAAAAGAGGCCTCCTGCATCATGAGGGATTCCACCCACCCTGCAAATTAACCGTTTGCCCCCCTCCCATCTGGCAGGAGGCTACACAGCATCAGGACCACGGCCACCTGGCTGAGGAACAGCTTCTTCCCTGACGCTGTGAAACTGATCAATCCTGCTAACTGAACACTGCTGCCACTATTATTATTATAAGACTGTTTTCAGGACATAACTGCACTATGAGGCCCCTCCATCACCTAGTTTATCTTTTAGACCTCCCATTTTTTATTCTTTACATCACACTCGTCTCACTCATTACATATATTCACATATTTTTTTATGATTATTATATTAATTCTTTTAATCGGCTGTTTTATTATGTGCTTCTGTTCTTGGTTTTACTATTTCAGGGTTCCTACACACTTTACGAATTGATTTTTGAAAATTCTTCCTAATATTTAACCCAATTTCCATTGCTTTATTTAAGTAGTTTATAAGTGGGAGGTCCTAAAAAGCCATACGTTATTAAACAAGTGCTTCCCAGGCAGTTGGTAATGACCAAACTGCTACTGATTGCAAACTGTACTCACTTGTTAAACGTTCCTGCTGCCAGCTTCCTTGTTCAGGGACAGAAACCCAAAGATCACACAGATGTCAATATAATTTGACATGTTTGGATTGAAGTTTGTGTGTGTTTCTTTCTTGTTAAACAAACTTTTGTTTCATAGACGTGCCTAATAATTGTTTTACACCCTTATCTGAACCTGAGTGTCCACAATACCTTAATAAATTAAGTTTGATCAGTCTGCTGCCAGGCCCATTCTGTCTTCACCTGCCCGAGTGAATCAATGACCCGGATACTGATTATCTGAACATCTGTGCATATGTAGATGTCCGGATCACCATACCTGGTGATTCAATCAAATAAGTAGTGTTGTCTGTAAATAACCAACTGTTTGATCAAGGCTGATATAATACCTAAGCTTTAGCTGAGATTGGAGACGACAGTCTGATGCTGCTATACTGTATGACTGTTACTGCAGCAGCCTCCCACTCAAGGTAACGTTCTCCATCAGTAGGAACTGTCACCAGCATCAATCAGCCATCTACCACACTGACAGTGAATATTCACTAAACTATTTTTAAATGAAGCTCTAGTGAAAGTTCAGTCAGGAAGACAATCATTTTTATGCTCAGGCTAGAAGTTTATTTCTCACCCTGCCATTCACTCCTTGCTCACATGCTCACTCACTATCTCTAGGTGTCATTGTCTGGGTGGGTCAATAGAGTCATCAGCTGATTCACAATCAACCAATGGCACCCTCAACCTGGCCATCATCACCTACTCTTTACGGATTCATCAGCCTCATATGCCTCATCAGCCTCAGAGTCATCAGCCACCACCACCATCACCAGTGTCTGGACTCTATGGAGGGATTTATCCTGCTGCTGCTCAGATGTCCCTTGATCACAAAATATCTCCCTGACTTCTGCTAAATCTTAATCAGCACAAATCATCTGTTAATCTGTACACTCATATTCTGTATTAAATATTATCTTTACTTAATTCTTCTGTCTCTCTTCTGTTAATTCCAAATCTTTTCCAGACCTGAAAACTGTTTTTCCTAATTGTATAACTTTTCCAGGAATTTCATGACTGTGAGAACCCTGTTATTTGCTATTTACCTGCACCAGGACTTAATCACCTCATTTTATTCCTTCATGTATAAATGTTCTGTAATGACCTCATCACAAATAAACCAAAAGTTTCTTAAGTGCTTCATTTTTAAATCTTAATGAATATTGGCACTTTCATTCACAATAGCATTCCTGAGCAGGCACTGGAAAGAACATGAAACATTTAAAACTAGGAGGGTACTCTGAGAGTGCAGACCTACGCCAAGGCCAAATGCCTCATCTTGCAATGTTAATGAAAGTAAAAATTATTCTTAAACCCGCCTCATGATTCAGATTCGCTGCAAAATTTAATGGCTTCCTCCTTGGCCCATGCGTCACCTTTCCACCAAGTTTCATGTAAATCAGGACAGCAGTTTTTCCATAATCCTGCTGACAAACAGATGTATCGCACCGAAAACATAACCTCCTTGGCAGAGGTAACTAGTGAGTTAAAAATAAAATCAGTGGGCCCCGTCTGCCTTATTTATTCACATGCGTCAGACAGTATGACGGCAGCATGATAAACTTAACTCTCACCTCTCTCTATTGGACTACTGAGTTCAGGTCACAGAATCCCTGCCTGCTAAATCTGTGCATTCAGAAACAGCCAGGCAGCACACCTCACCCAAAAGTAGATGTCTCAGGCCTCAATTTGAACCGTGTGTGTGAACTAAAAGAGGAAGCGAAACGACTGCACATATGGCAAATACCGTGGCCTCAGTGGAGCGCTATAGACACCAGGACTGTAATGAATCCCACAAAAACCTCCAAATACTTTAACAAACAGCACAGAAATGAGGCGCATAATGAGGAAAAGCTTGTCTCTTTCAACCAGCCTGTAATCATTTCCACAGACAGATAGTATGTGCACCAATTGTGCACAGAAGAAGGAAGCAGCACGAGATCTAATCACAGAGAGAATCTCAAGACAGACGAATCAGCCACAAAGACAAAAAGCTGTTTCTCACACTCCTAATGTGATCATGCTGAAGACAAGCTCCAAAGACACTCAGTTGTGTTCATGATCAGAGTCCACTTTGAGCTGACACAGCAGACTATGTCCGAACAGGATTAACCAAGCTGTGATCAAACAATCCCTCAGTGCCTTAAACAAACTAAGGTGGGGTTGTAGCAGGAGACGGTTTCAGGACAGGCTCAACTGTGGGGCATCACTCCTGCACGGGGATGGAGGCAAACACAGACTCTCAGACTTTAAGCCAGCGCCAGTCAGAGGCTGTTTGGCAACTGAACTCACATTCACCCGTGACCTTTCTGTCCAGTTTTAGCTCCTGGCCCTGCAAGTTCTGTACAACATTTTGTCAGAATTATTAATGGATATCATGTCTCTACAGGTCCACAATGGAGGAGGAAGAGTCATTAAGTCTGCTTCATAGCCTCTGGTCATGCATAAAAGAGAAAAATGCAGGAGTCTAAAGAGCAAAAATGTTAATATGTAACACGTTGGTGGATTCATGTTGCTGACATCAAGTACAATCACTTCTCTTATAATTGTTAAAACCAGCTGCTGCTTATTTTCCGTGTGCATTAACTCATCACTGTATGTAAATGTACAGGTGTTCAGAGTCTGATGCTATGTAGGTTAATGGTGCTGCTGAGACAAGCTTCTTTCTAGGGTAGCAGGAAATTACTAAGATTTTATCACTGTGGTGAGCAAGTAGAGCAGTGTGTTTGGTACTTCCTTCTATGCTTCATGATCAGAACCTTTATGATGATCATGTACACCAACCGAGACTGCTTTAGACTACACTACCTGTTTCCCTTCATGACTTTATTTCATTAGTAGGAATGTGACTCTAGGATTGTGCAGCACAGGAAGCTGAGTCACACTAGTCAACTGTGACTTTGAATATAACAACATGCCTTGCTGTGGGGGAAACAGAAAGTTCAGATAACAGGCCCTGACATTAGAACTGGACAATATTTTCATATTATACTGATATTATGACGTGAGACTAGGTATTGTCTTGGAGTTTTGATATATTGCAAATGTTGTCTTTACCTGGTTTTAAAGGCTACATTACAGTAAAGTGGTGTAATTTCCTGTTATTTTATTTGTCTTAGCCAACTTGTTCATTGTATCCACATGACTGATGATTATTTATTAAAATAAATATTTTGTGAAAGTACCAACAGTCAACCCTAAAATATTGTCACAATATTCATATTGAGGTATACAATCCAAAAAAATTGTGATATTTGATATTTTGGTCATGTGATTAGCGTAAACAGATTTGCACTATTCAAATTAAATCATTCCTTATCATCTGAAACAATGAGGGGTTGAAGTCGAAAATCGGCTCCAAATTGGCTGATCTGTCGTAATCGTATGCCTCCCAGTTTCTTTTACCAGTGCCTGCATGTTTTTCCGACAGTTGCTCATTCCAAAACAATGACGCCAAACACACGTTCCTACACTACTGGAAACAATGATCCACAGCTTGGCTTCATTTCACAAAGAAAAATGATACCAGTGCTGCTTGTAACATCTGTAAAATGATCATCATCAACATGGGCTTAAGTTTCAGGAACACCATGTATTTGACAGAGGGCAAATACTCTCTCATTTCATCAACACTGTGTTCAGACTCGGAGATAATAAAGCAGTTGCGTTGACGCTGAAAACCTGTGTAGGCCTCCTTTTTTTCACACAGAAAATTGATAGGAAATCAATAACGGAATCGATAAAGAATCGGACCAATAAGCAGAATCAATAATGGCACTGGTTTCAATTAAATCTTAACAATTCCCATCCCTAACAAGGAGAGTTAATTGAATATATTTGGGTTTTGGACTGTTGGTCAGACGAAAACAAGTAATATGAATATTTTAACTTGGGGAAATTATATTGGGATTTTTTTTTTATTTTTCCAAATTTTAGATCACACTTATACTTTAAAAAAATTATCTACATATTTATATAAAATGAAGATGTCTTAGTAACAGCGCTACATGGGTTTCTACAGCTTGAGGAAAGTTAGATTCAAGATTTTAAGACCTTTTTTATGCCCGTTTGGGGCCAATTTTACCTAAATGATTATTGTAACATAAAACATGACCTACTTTTGTCCATTCAGGCATGTCGGAGATGAGGAAGAACTGGACTGGGAAATCCCTGAGGTTTGTTGACGGGTTTTCCTAGTTTTTGTGTTTCTTAATCTCCACTGACTTGATTACCATCATGCCGAGTATGAAAAACATTTTGCAGAAAGCACACCTAGCTTCTCATGCATTGCCTTAGGTCTGACCTGAATGCTTTGAAGCTTCGAACGTTGCCATTCTAATCGATGTCTAAATCAATATTCAAATGCTCTGTTTTTCTATAAAATTCCCCCCAAAAATCCCAAATAGCCCATGAATTAGGAGATATAGTAATCTAACATAATTCATTTTGCAAATCTCCTGAAAACTCTAAGTAACAGCTTTTTTTCTAGCTATAACGGCTAATGTTATTGCAATGTGCATGCTAACAAAGCGGCTAACTGTCACGCTATTTTGGGTGCAACGATTGAAAACTGATGTTTCAATAAATGTCCTTTCGTCTCATCTCTCCGACCCCTCCCCCCAAATGGAACTAAGCCATTGTTAATGTTGCTTTTCCTACTATGACATGTCAAAATGTCTGCTGTGAAAAAGGTCTCGTTTCTTTGAATTTGCACCTCCCCATGTCGTCCAGGGTGCAGTGACAGCTAGCTAGCACACAGTGGATCATCTGCTCTCAGTATTCTGGCTAGAAACAAAATATGAGTGATGATGATTCCACCATCCTGATCTGCATGAAGTTAATTTGACAGGCATCTAGTTATTGTTATTATCATTATTATTATTTTAAATCAATGTTATCAATTATTTTGAGATTTTACAGTGCAACATCATAAAATCCTACCATTCCTTTCTCAGCATTTTTAAGACTTTTGCAAGACTGATTTAAGACATTTTACTACCAATTAAGGCCTTATTTTTAGGTTAATGAAACCAATGCCCTTTACGTCCTTTCAAAGATCAGCACTAACTCTGCCTACATACCATGTGTCAGATGCAATATTTATTATCCATTTAGATTCGAGTTTAGTTCTTCATACTGAAGGACAAAATACTTTTTTCAACTCTGATATCACATCAGAAGCAGATACTGAACATGCTGCTCTCTGAGCCGTTATGACAATCTCCTCTGTGTTCCTGCAAGTTAAAGACAAACATCAACACTTCCTCATTTGGTAAACCAACGTGGTTCACCACAGCATTTCAGTATCAGCGGGTTTTCTTGTGTAGTCAAGTGATAACCATCGAGACAGGAAGTTATCTTAATCATGCTAGCTGACGAATGAAAAAAAGGGAAACTGTGTTTTGCAGACTTTCTTAAAGTCTGAGTTGAATATCCCAGAAGAAGAGGAAGCAGCAGGCCAGCAGCCTGATCATTTTCACAGTGTTTCTGCATTGGAGGCTGATTAAAACAAACTTCTGACTTCCAGTGTGACCAGTCAGCTGCAGGAGCATGCTGAACTAAAATGCAGCGTTGTGAAATATTTAATCCACTTTGCACAAACTTGAACCTTCCCTTTTTTTAAAAGTTCAAAACATTTACTGCTGCCACCACTGGCCTCCATTCCCATGTGGGTCAAATTAATTTTAATTGCTGTTTTGCTTCAGCCCCAACAACAAACACACAGAGCAGGCCAAAATTTAAGAGCATGTGTATTCGAAGGAGCTGTCTACAGTAACACACTGATTAAAACACTGTAGTAGAGACACATCTTGTAAAAGCAGACATTTATTGCTTGTAGACACCTCATTGAGCTTATGTCTACTGAGCTGTGGCAGCGTTTCCAAACTCCGGGGGCAATGAGGTGGATCAATACAGCCTGTCTTTTGATAAATGGACCTATTGCCTGAATGACAGTAATCCCATCAGCTCCACCTCGCACATTAGGACAACATGGAAGCAGTGTGTGTTCTGCGGGAGTCACCCTGTAAACACAGCGCTCTCTTAATCTGGAGAGTGGATAAAGACGAGGATGGAGCCTCTTCCAATGAAAATCTAAATAAAGCAGATGGGCCTCACGTGCACGATATGAGCACAAAAGGAAACCCTGTGTTTATACACGAACAGGCCAACCCTGAGGCATGTTGTAAACAGCATAACCTGGATATGACCAGACTATCACATGCAGAGTTTAACAGTCTGTAATCCAGGGGCAATTTTGTTACTGTGACTCATGGAAGTTAGCTGTAAAAACAAATTTTATCCTTGAATACAAACAAACACGAAACTGACTCCCAACTTGCCGAGGGGCCACGCAGCACCGAAGCAGCTTGATTGTGTGTGTGTTGTGCAAGTCCAGTGATGTTTACAGCACACATGAAGTGGCATCCTGGCACAGACTGGGCAGCACAGTTGATGAGGTTGGCTCCTCGGCATATGGCGGAGGAGCTGTTCATGCTACTGCAGAGATACCACTAATGAGCCTGGGTGCTTCAGGAGAAGGAGGCTGCTGGCTGCACAGAAACACATCCTAGCTAGCGCCTACCTCTGAGCTCTGCGCTTCCCTCTCTGTGGTTTGGACTTTCTGTTATGTCGGATGTGGCGAGGCAAATTAAGGTCACTCACTGTGTAAATTCCTCAGACTTTTTGGAATGCTGAAAGGCGACTTGGTCATGTGATGTTTGCGGAAAGGATGTCAGGAAGTTAGACGTGAGGTCTGGTGTGTTGTGTTTTTCTAAGTGTGTGTGTTGAAAATACACAGGAATCATCCAAGCTTTACTTTCCTTGTGTGGCTCTCCACTTCTCCCGTGGAAAAAAGAAAAAGGATACAGCCTCAAAGCTCCACTCTGAGTCCCGACAGCCAAGATTTTCTGCACAGGGTCAAAAGCCATTGAGGATGGTTGATATGGGAAGCCATGACGCACAGTCTGCAGGAAAGAGCAGAATTTATATTAGACCTCCAGTCAGCTAATCAATCATCTGCTACACAGTCAAGCTGGCTTTACTGGAGGAAAAAAAAAACATTATCATAATCTCCTAGAAATGTAATCCATCAATGTGGAAAATTAGTCTCATTATCAAAATAAATTAGATAAAGCATAAACATTAGTGCAAATGGGGACTGGAATATTTTCCCTGATATCTGCCTGACATGCGTGCAGGCTCAATCCTGTAAAACATCAGTAATAAATTCATTTTATCCATCCTAAGGCTCACATTTTCAGCCTTGGAGTGCACTTCGCTGCCAGGATCTTGCAGTCCCCCCAGCCAGCCACCAAAATGTTATCATCATCAGGCATCTATAACTCAATTGTTTCGGGTTGGAAACCTTGCCCAGCCATCCATAAGCTCTGTGCAGCATGCAGCAGTGTTATGTAACAGGTAATGCCATGGCCCTGTAACCTGGGGACTTGACCCATGCTGATCCCAGCTGGGGCGGGAGCTGGTGGGCCGGCTCTCCGAGACACTCAACACAAACCTTTGCAGGAAAATCATTACATGTGCGTTATTAAAAATGAATTTGGGGGAAACGTGTGTGTTGACCAGTGAGGCTGGGTCACACTTTTAAATGTCTGTTTTAAAACAACGCTTACTCAAAATTAAAATAAATTGACACACACTGAGGATTTTTTTTGTACCTTGAGGGTAAATAGGGTGCTAGAGTCAAGTGCATAAAAAAGCACCAAAATAGAGTGTGGGGCCAGGGGAGAATGCTTTGGAGCCCCAGACAGATCCCCCGAATGTCCTCAAATCGTAGAGACACTGCTGTGTACACCTGCTGCGACTGGATTTGCCTCTTAGCAAAGATGAGTGAGGAAAGCAAACACTTAAAGGCTGAAAAACGACAGTTCATTTACTTCATTCATTCATTTTCCGTAAGCGCTTATCCTGACATTGGGCAGGAGGTGGGGTACAGACTATTGCAGTGTTGACACATAGAGACACACAGCCATTCACGCCTACAGACAATTTAGAGTCACCAATTAACCTAAACTGCATGTCTTTGGACTGTGGGAGGAAGCCAGAGTACCCAGAGAAGACACACTGACGCGGGGAGAGCATGCAGGCTTTGAACCCCCCACCCTAGGTTTGAATCACTAGCCCTCTTGCAGCAATGCTAACCACTGCACCACCCACTTCATTAACTGATAAATATTTCTGTTTGCTGACTAACTGGTCCTTTGCCTGCTGTCATTTTGCAAAAGTGGCCCCCGAGTGAAGCAAGAGTATCCCAGCTGTAACCCTGCCTCCTGTCTACACTGTGCCTCAAGAGATTTAAGTTACAGAGGACAAATACACACTCCTATTAAGTGTATAAATGCAAAGGTTTGCTGAACTAACATGCATATAAAGTAAATTTATACAAGCAAATTCCCTCTTCCCTTAAAACACAAAAATAAATGTTACACTAAAAATGCTGTAGCAATGAAAGACATCCACCTGGTTTGCCAAACTCTGACTGAACTCATAGTATCTTGAGCTAAACTGAACTAATTTTAACACAGGAGGAGGACTGTGGATTTTGTCCTCCATCTCTTAATCACCTTATGAAGGGATCTCTTCAGGAGGAGTTATTACAGAAGGCAAAACTATTCTTTAAATCAAAATGCTGTCCCCTTCTGAGTGAAGCTGCAGGCAGCTGGTGAGGTTAGCTTGCAGTAATGATGTAAAACAGTGACTTGAGGCGACGATTCAGTGCAATGCAAACAGCCGTGGTGCTATGACAGCCTGGAAACAACCCCGGGACACAGCCGAGCACAGCACGGCAGTCAACAATTAAAATCAATTCCCCGTTAATATTAGCTTCAACTTGTACTTTAAATATCTGGGCTATATATTTGGTTTATAAGTGCTACATGCGCACACTGGTGTGGTTTTAATCCCAGTGAACAGAGCTGGTGGGGATGAAAACAACGCCAGTGTTAGGTCACGCCGCTGTCATCTGACTGTCAGTGTGCGAAAACAGTCCGTTAACGTTAGCTGCTGCTGCCGCTGTGGACGGAAACCCACCTTGCAAAGCTGAAAATGCTCCGACTGGAGAGTCTCCTGGATAACGTCGTTTTCCCTGGGAGTACCCGGCTGGGCAGTCGCGGAGGAGGACGAAGAAACCGCTGTCAAGCCGTCCAGCACCTTCCTAATGTTGAACTTCTTCATTTTCCTCCGGTACAGACGCGACGGTTGAGAAAACAGATGAAGCGAGCTACCATAAATTGGACAGAGGAGAGGGGGTAGCTGCTAGCTAGTTAGCCGAAATAACGCACACTTAATATCTTTCTGAATACATCTCACATGTTACGGAGGGTGTTGCCAGCGCACTCTCCAAAAGCACCCGAGTCACGAGCATTGATTTCGCTAGTCCTTTCCGACACCAGTGTTAATCCGCCATTTGTGTTGCCAGCTTTGGCGTTATTCGATCGGGATCAATCGTTTCCGTGAGCTGTTTCCCCGGTCAGGGCTCAGCGGGTAGCAAACTGGCTACGGAAACGCAGTGAACTGCAGCGGGGATTGAGTCTGCGCTCTGCTGTCACCCGGATGCTGGGGCCGGTGTTACGGGCTTTTCTGTGACCTGTCAGATTCTGTGACCTCCATAGGATTGTTTTAAGCTAACGGACGTTTTAACCACAACTGTTTTCTGTATTTTTGATAGCTTTTAACTAAATATATGACTTCACAGGGCACATATTTTGATATAAATCGTTGCTAGTCGAGTTCAAGGACTTTTAATTAAGGTACACAATTCTGTGAGGTGGTAAGCAGGCTATTTATCAAAATAACTGAAATGTGCTAAAAAAAATAATGCTAACTCTCGAGTGGGAAAAAGAAACATGTCTGTCAGAATAGTTATTTAACTAGTGCCTCTATTTTTAAGGACCTTAACAGCCGTATTTATTTTTTTATTTATTTGGATCCACATTAGTCACTACCAAGGTAGCAACTACTCTTCCTGGGGTCCATACAAGCAAATTTATAATTAATTTATAATTATGTTTAATCTATAATTTAAAATACAAGGCAAAAAGTATAAAATAAAACAAGAAAACAGGAGGACTACAATACAATAATCAAATAACAAACAAGTCCACCAACAAAACAAAACTAAAACACACAAACAAAACCAATAAATTATTAACAATTAAATTATTCATGTCAATAATTAAAACAATGACAACAAGTACCCTCACTATATCGATATTGCCAGAAAAAAAGTGAAATAAATTATTATTATTATAATTACTATTATTATAATTTTTTTTTTATACAGCTGAAAGGTAATCGTACTATTGTAGCTGTGTATTTTCATCTCTTATAGTTTGCAACAGTCAAATTTGTGACAGTAAAAACCTAATAAAAAACATAATTAATAAATAATAATTGATGAAACAATAATAATACAATAGCACAATAAAACTATTATATATAATAATTACAATGACAACAAGTATCCTCACTAAATCAATATTGCCAGAAAATACTAAAACAAATTATTATTATTATTATTATTATTATTATTATTACACAGCTCAAAGGTAATATTAGTACTATTGTAGTTGTGTATTTTCATGCATAATTCATAACCATCTCTTATAGATTGCAACATCCAAATTTGTGACAGTAAAAACCCTAATAAAAAAACAGAATAATTAATACATAATAATTAATAACAATTTAAAAAATAAGATAACAGCAACAACATTATTATTATTATTAATAATAATAAAGAAAGAAAATAATGATAAGTACATGAAAACAGTATCATTTTCTAACTTTAAGATACACTTGATTTTATTATAGCCACCCTACCTAAGTATGTTGTCACAATCCCAACTATGCAACAAAAACTGTTGAAAAATATTTTAATCAGGGGAAGAAAAAAAAAGGGTCAGTGAAACCTACAGTTCCATTTTCATTTAGTTCTGTGGCCCCCTGCTGGCTGAGGGCTCCTGTGCACCATTCATGCCTTGAGGCTGAGAAAGCAGGAGAAGCTGAACCCTGTGACACCTGTCAAAGCCTTAAAATCTGGAAATCAAATAACAGTGCAGAGGCAGTGAGAAAAACATGCCATAGTTGTTGTTTGGAACTACTAAAACTGCACATTTACATCTCCTTGTGTGTGATCCTCTTCACTGCAGATCTTTCCCACAGAAACCTGATAGGAGGGCTGTCCTTTGTGAACGGTTAAGTTCCCAATTCAGGATCCAATCTATTGTGTGTGCTTAGAAAATAGGCCGTATTTCCTCCTTCCTCTTGCTCCCCAAGGAAGAAAAACGAGGTTATTTTACCTCTGCAGAGAATTAGGAAAGTAGAAAATCTGGTTAGATGAAAACCAGAAAACCTTGTTAAATGGTCACCTTCATGATCTGTCACTCAGGAGGCCCATATTTCTACTGGCTGACATTTCTGTGCTGATTTTGTAATTGAAATGGAACATTGTCAGGAATTAAGTAGCACTCCTTAAATAATACATCTGACAAAGGCATTTGGATGAGATGTGAGACAGTATGTGGTTAATCCCAGCAGAGTTTTGTAATGAAGTAAAGCATGTCATTTAAATAATTCAACATTATTTATTCTGTCAGAGTTTTGGCACCAGTGAACAAACATGTCTTTTTTTAACATTGTTTTTGCATCCTTAAATTCTTTAAATCTTAAAATTTTTAATTCTTAAAATTAAACGACAATTTTGGGGAGTAACCAGTTGCATATAATTAAACTGAAACATGAATGTAAATGTAATCAGGCAGTTACTCAAAAAAATGTTATTGAATTAACGTTACTAATCAAAATTTTGGTGATTACAAAGGGGTTACATCTGAATATATTCTTTATGGTAAAAAGTTTATGAGAAAAATATAACATTTATTTTGTTGCTTCACATCTTTTCACCATGCAGGAACACCCTCTGTTGGCAGTGCCTATTTTGGGACATTTTTCACCTTTATTGCTCAGTTTAAAACATTTAAACAATCAAAAAGTAATCAAATGTGGTAAGTTACATAACCCTGATAAATAAAATAGTTACATTACGTATTACATTTTTATCACAGTAACTACTCTGTAATTTATCACATTTCAAGAGTAAAATTCCCTATGCTGTTAACCGAACACATTATTTGTACTGTAGCCTGCTGCAGTAAACATCTGCTTAATGCTAGGTCCAAATTCTTTTAGGAGTAGTTATAAAAGTAACTAATCAACTATACAGCAAAAATGAATCTAACTGAATGAATCTAATTCAAAATACAACTAAGTTATTATCTCGAACTACAGAGGTACCATGACTCTAATTATTATTAAATGCATCGGATTTTACGATAGACATAGAGCTGCTTTATTCTGGTTTCTCCTCACTTCTTATCTTTAATATGGACACATAGCCTATAAAATGTATCCAAATCCAACCCACTCTTAGTCTAAACAAAAGCATGCATAATACAAACTACAAGAGGATATAACACACCAACAACATTTAAATATACACACACCAAAAAGAAAGTCCAAAGGTGTAGCTACCATAGACTAAACTAAGCTCATGCCCTCAGTATTGTTTAAGGACATTTGAAGGTTTTAATGTCTTGAGATGAAATGTTTAGTCTACAATTTGACATGTAAATTGTAAATTAGTTTTTAAATCTTGTTCAGGTATTTTGTAACGTCACTAAAAATATTTTTAGTGGGTAGATGTAGATCAATATAGAAAAAAGTTTGGGAAAGAAAATGTTTAACCCTTTGTTTAGACTTTTTAGGACTTAAGTACAATTTAAAAAAAAATACTTTTACTGTATAAAAAAAAAGTATTTATATTTCATGCTGTGCAATCCAAAGCACATACACAAGCTGTGCTCATACTGCAACTCATTTCTATGGAAAATATTCTACTTGTTTACTCCGCTACACTGAAGCTTAAGATGTTTTTTTGTTTTTCTTCTTTTTTTACTTCAGTTACTCTGAGACGTTGTCAAGTTTAAAATAACAACAATTTAATATGTATACTGTGAAGCAGGAGAATCATTTTCTTTTTTTAAAAAATATCCTTCAGTGTTTTGTTACTTATTATTTCCTTACTTAATATATATTGGATGATTTATCAAATCAAATCAAACTTTATTTAGCACTTTTCATACATTAAAAATGCAACACAAAGTGCTTCACAAAATAAAAACAATGAAAAACCCGCCCCTCCCACCCCCCACATATAACACAAACACACAAACACACACACACACACACACACACACACACACACACACACAGTATGTAAGTATGGTAACATGGCAGGGCACTGAGGCACCAGGTGAGGAAAAAAAAGCACCTATGGGGAGCCATCCACACCGAGAGACACCACAGCAGGGAGTGCCGCCACAGACACCACCCCAGAGATAGGCCGTGGTGGACTCCACACATGGTGCAGAGCCCCCCTAGTCCACTGGGCCTGAGGGATCTCCAGGACGACGTCCCTATGGGCAGACCGGACACACCTCCCAGTGTGGATGCCCCCCATGAGGAAACACTGGAGCTAAAAACTAAGAGACTAAAAGACAATAGGGTAGGATAAAAACAGGCACAAGATAGAATAATGATAAAATGCATAAAAATATTATGGTACATATTTGTGTTAATTGTGGTGTTACTTAGTGTGACTTATATGCTGCTGTATGTATGTTTGTCTTATTTTGTTAATTGGAATAAAAAGAGCTGTAGTTATTTAAAGAATAAACTGTGACACAACTCAAAAGTAGGCCTATATAAAGTATTTACATCAACCTCAATTAGCGCCCGTGTCAAAATGCTGCTTACATGTTAATATATATATAACCTAATACTCCGAATAGAGCCACTCTGTATAAGGAGAACCATCTTCTTCTTAAATAAAGCTTTGAATGCAGGATTTTTATTTGTAACTCAGTATTGTTTCATTGTGGTGTCACTACTTTACTTCAGAAACTTGTGCTCCAATATTTGTTCCACTACTGCTAATAAACAAAGTTGATGATTAAATGTGTATTTATATGCAGATACATAAGTTAAAACATATAAGAACAGGTTTCCAAACAAGATGTCATCCTGTTACAGCCTCCATGTGTTATGACTCATATTTCCTCACTCAGCTGCACCCTGAGGCTTTCCTCCGGGTCTTCAACTGTCTCTGCACATACATGTTTTGTACACTAGATGGCGCAGTCTACCAACAATCTACCACCCTGCAATCTGACAGCACTGTGCTGAGGTGGTGGGATCTGCTTACAGCCAAAATTCAGCACCATGGACAGCAACATATGGATTCCTGTCCCTGATTGGCTGCCTGGTTGGTACAGGATATGATCTGTTTTAATAATCTGGTTCAAGCAGTTTTGCACACACTGAGAACGAGACGTTTTTGTGCCAGAGAGATGTCAAAAAGTCGGTTTAACACATAGAGTATGTTACATACAGTGATAATTATCATAAGCCATCATAAAATGGGTCAGTCAAGACACAATAAGAGACTGGCAGAAGCACAGCAGGGCTTTGCACACTCCATCAACCTATTCACAAGTTTGACTAAATTGAAATTTTCATGCAATCATGAATATATGAAGGAAGCTGCCAGAGAAAATGTTCACTGGAGGGCAGATAAAATAGGGCAATATGAATAATGCACACGTAATGGGATCTGATGCAGAGAGTGTGACTCCCATTCACACTGTCATATTTATAAACAACAAGTTAAGAGGCTGCACTTTTGTGTCCGATGTGAGAACGTATCGGGGCCACCATCCCTGTTTGACTCCTGAATTTAGGTCTCTGGTATCTGGGACATAAATCCATAATTAGCAGTTGTGTTTCACTTCTTCGCTCACTTTCCCCAGGGCACAATTGCCACACGAGGTAACCTTCCTCCCTGGCTTTTCTGTTTGCAACTCACTTGATCAGCAAAGTGTATATGCTGGTGTGATAAAAAATAAAGCAGTGTGGGGTTTTACACGCATGACAGTGCAAGGTTAAATAAAAACATGCACGACATACCTGCACAGAACCTGAATTTGGACAAAAGCTACACAGTGTTTAGGTACCTGGAGGCAGGATGTGGAACAGATCCCCAGATGCACAGCAAGGACACTGAAAAGTAAAACTACAGGACAGCAAAGAACAGATTGGTGTGCAAAAATAACCTGTGTAATACACAACATGTCAGTGAGCATAAAGGACAAGGTTTCACTCTCCACAAATACCTACAAGACTGACTCAGAATATATCAAGTAAATTAGTAGCATTAAAGCATTTAATTGCTCCCAAAATGAAGATTAACTTGACTCTGACTCACAGAAAAGGAACTGAATCCCCCTGAAATTGATTCACTTTAAAACCTAAAGGACGCTGCGTCATTAAAGTACAGGAAGTAACAACATGATTAAGAACAAGACAGATGAACTGACAGACAAACTGACCCCACACCAGTCTTCATTAGAGTCGAATAATGGTGCTGTGGATAAAAAGAACACTACATTGCCTAATGTATGTGAACAGAGGTGTCTCCTTTTGGTAATATAGTGCATCATAAAACAAAGCTGTAGCCATGGAGTCAACACTGGGGGGGTCCAAATCTGTGTAAGCACATCTATACAGTATACTATACAAATATGCAATATATAAAAGCTACTGTCCACACATGCAATCCAACATAAATGTCTGACACTTTACTCAGACTTTACCTGGGCGATCTGACAAATATATTAAGATAAAGACATTAACATTAATGGAATACACCCATGATCACCATTGTTTAATATTCAATTAATTTGCCATTTGCTCAGGTACAAGTGTAAGTATGGAAGCAAATAAGTCACATAAGTATTTGGACAGTCAGTTCATAGCATTTTAATATTTTATTCTGAAAACCATGCATCTGATTTTAGAAGTTCTGAATTCATATAGAGGAGGACAGGTTGTGTTAGAGGAGTGCACATTTATTTCGTAACACTGGGTGGTACTTGGACTGTTAATAAACTGGGTTTATTACTTATTTATTCAACTGGGTGGTAAATAGACTAGTTGTATATGAGTTGTAAATTAATTTGGAAATCTGTTGAAATAATATATGAGTTAAAAGGAGAAATGTAACAAAGGGGTGGGGACATACAGGTTTTACTTCTGCCTATTCCTTTTCGGACACTTTTATCTTTGTCTTGTTTGTTTTTTATTATGTTTTTTGTTTCAAAATAAAGTCATTCATTTATTCATTTTCAGTTTATAGAGCTGTATTTCAATATTCATTTTTTTCAGTGTTCACATATTCAAATCCAAAAATTCAAGATTCAGAATTTAAAAAAAAAAGTCTAACTAATTATAACTCCAGGTAAATCATGATAGCTAACATTAGTGATGATTGATTTATTAGTATTTACAAATCAACCAATTTTAACAAAAAACAGGCAATAATAATGGAATTTTTTAAAAATTAATAATGGTTATGATTACATTTGGTAATGATTATTTCAAACAGCAGTGCATGGCATATTATAATCACTGCCTTGTCACACCTAAACAAATTAATCCCATTAACATAGCCTAGGTCTCAATCACATAAGAATTTGGGGGGTCCGCCATTGTTGCACCTCATATTACTCGATGAATAAACTGTATAGAGCCTTGTTGTTTACAGATTAAGATTACACATACAAAACCTATGATAAAATATATGCATTATAATGGATTAAACTGCCCATAATGAACATAGTGTGTAAACAATCCTACTGTAGTTTTAAGATAGATTATGTTCTCTATGTTCATTGTATTGCTACTCCTACTTAAGAGTCTGAGAATGTCTTTCCCTCTCTGTCTCTTTTTCCTCTCTGCATCAACAAATCAAGAACTAACACATGCCTCAATCTGATATGTCATGGCTGACTTCCTATTATAGAAAACAGAATATATATGTGTTGTCTATCAGAATATATATGTGTTGTCTATCAGTATTAGATAAAGCATAAGTGCCCCGCTCCCTCCAGCTCTCTGGGCCGTATGTAGCATGTTTCCTCCCTCCACTGAAATCAGGTCACGCTGATAGCTGTTCTCTGCTATTGGCCATATCAAGCGGGGCTGCGATGCTTATGCATGGGTCTTAGCTCATTGCACTGTGAAGTGATTAACAGATAATTATATGCATGGGTTGCATAACAGACAAGTAACACTCGGAGCTGAGATTGAATAAGTTGTCATTTAATGAGGAATGTTTAACAGCTTCAGATACAGAAATGTTTTAAGACTTTCTCTTTTGCTGATTTTGTAGTTTGAGAAATGTCAGTTGTGACTGTTTCACAGTTTCTAGCCTCTCATTATGACGGGTCAATCACCAGTAAGTCTGAGTTCTAAGATGAGTGTCACAGTCTTTTCCCAGCAGGATGTGTGTCATGCTGATTTCTTTATTGGCCTGACTGTATTGGTGGATTATCAGAGAAATGAGCTCAGTCGTCTCCACAGAGGTGTTTATGAGGCAGCCCACACAGTCTACACATTACTGAGGAAATGGAAAGGCAGAAATCTGAATATAAACTTACTGATTATGTGTAACACAGGCTCAAATAGCTTGTACGCAGTGGCTGTGGATTCATAACGTAGTGTCAAAAAGAGAGCGTTTAACTGGTCGCTGCAGTAGTTTGGCTCTTTGCCTCAAAACCGTGGTCTCCAGCAGCACAATGACTGGCTCTGACTCTCCCCGGGAGCCTGGCTCACTTTGATCCCGTCCCAGTGGTGCTCTTCATTGGACAGTCCGGTGTCGCAGAGCATCATTTGTCTGACAAGCAAGGCACCTGCCTCATCAATATTTATATTGTCCTATAAATGGTGAGGGAGGAATATGATTTAGAACATTGTGTATGCACGCATTGAGTTAAGTGTTTGGCTCGCTGTTCAAACCTTGGCTGCAAATTGTCCCTGTGTGTTAATATTTGAACACGTTTTATGAGCAGGCTATATAGCTGCAGTGTTGAAGTTCACACATACAGCATAGTGTAACCTCATGCAATTCTAATTGTGAGCCACGAGATCCACTGGTGGCTTTACTGAGGCAGAGAGGAGCTTCAGCAATGAAAGATAACATTTGTCAAATGCAAAAAGCATCAAAGAAGCAAATAATTACATAAATAATTCAGTAAGTCAGTCAGGCAATGCAGCATGAAGTCAAAATGATCAAACTGAGCCGTTGTACTAAATGAAAATACAATCTAGTTTTTCAAACAGCCAATAGATAAAGAATTCCTGACACATACAGCAGGAATATGGACCCTTTGCTTAACAGTAGTGACAAATAAATTTGCCTCTATGCACTAAAGACTATATAGTATCTCTGGATTTTGTGATTTTTGATTTTTCAGTGTTAAGGGGATGCGTTACATCCACTCAAGGTTAAATTAACCATTAAAAACCCATTGATTTATTTGAAAACATGCATTTCAGCTGACATGAAAAATGAGTTATCTTTCTTGAAAAGCTGACATTTTGGTTGGTGGTGGTGTTCTCAGGTTTTAGATACTTAAATTGAATGCCTTTCAAGACCATTTCAAGATACTTTTAAGCCAAATTTAAGACAAATTTTTGGACAAAACATCTTTTTTTAATTCAAGCATGACAGCTAAGTATAAAGAAAGTGGTCTGTTAATATGTTACGTTACATTAATCTACAGCATGCAAAAAGTAAATAGACAGTATCAAGTTCAGTGGTAGATTTGAAAATTTGTAACATCAGAAATGTGGACACAAGCTTAAATAATTTTGACGGAAAGAAACTAAAAGATGGAGAAATTAAATTAGTTCAAATGTCCATGGCAATTAAGACCTCACAGAATCAAATTTAGGTCTATTTCATAGACTTTTAAGGCATAAAATGTATTTCAAAAAATGAATTAAAGACATTTTAAGACTTTAAAGGGGCATGCAGACTCCCTGTTAAATGTTGCTAACATTAGCTGTCATAAGCTAATGGTCATACCAGCCGCTTGTGGGAGTAAAACCTCTGAAGGTATTATATTGAGCACTATGAATTTAATGTTTTAATTTGTAAAAGAAAGAATGTGTTATTTAATCTTTTTAAGTCACAGTCTCATTTTAAAGGTCCAGTGTGAAGGATTTAGGGACATCTACTGGCAGAAATGGTATATTATATTCATAACTATGTTTTCATCTATATTTGTCTATAATCACCTGAAAATAAGAATCTTTGTTTTTTCGGTACTTTAAAATGAGCTGTTTTTATCTACATATGAAGCGGGTCATCTTCCATAGCGTCTGCCATCTTGTTTCTACAGTAGCCCAGAATGGACAAATCAAACTCTGGCTGTAGATAGGGCCATTCATGTTTTCACATTTCACATAGTTCTCCTACATGCGTCGCACATGGAAAAAGTTGTCGTTCTGCAACCTCACAGTTAGATGCCCATAAAGCCTACACACATTCTCTGATAAATTTACAATCAATCAAATTAGTTAAGACGAGTAATACATTGGATCTGGATTTTTAACAGGGCCCCTGGGTATGGGATTACGGGAAAATTTCCTGTATTGTTGTTGGTAATCAAGTCTTGACTTAATGTTGAAATATAAAGTTAACAAGATAAAAGAAGAAAAGCACTAAACAAAGGGGTCCTTCCTGTCCCATTAAGGCTTAACTTGGCCAATAATGCCTCTGAGATGTGTTTGAATATCTCTAAGTGCCACTGTGCACAGATTTTCTTCTCTCACAATAAGTGAAATACAACACACACCTTTGCCGAGGTCTCAAACCAGCCCATGAAGTTGTTATCTTTACAGAAGCTGTCCAGGGAGGACACCAAGTCTCTGTCCCTTCCTGTCAAGTCACATTTGTTGGCCAGCAGGACAGCAGGGATCGGGCATCCGCTGTCGAGACAGACTTTACTATCCAGGTCCTGTTTCCACTCTGAGGCGGCCTCCAAGGTGGAGCTGTTTGTAATGTCAAAGACCACTACTGCTCCCATCGCCCCTTTGTAGTACACTCTGGACATCTTCTTAAACCTCTCCTGGCCTTGAGGGAAGAGAAAATAAATCCGTTTGATTTATGCTGCACCACAGCTTGTGCTCAAATCTGCTCCAAGAGGAAAGATTAATTCATTTTTCACGGATAGGCTGTTATTATTGAGCAAAAGGCTTACAGTTTTTGGATCTGAATTTAAAGTTGACACACAGTCAGTAATGCTACTGTTTGTTTTTTTATGTGTGATTTGATATTTAGCCCAAACCTTATGTAATGAGTGAGGGACTAACAACAATAATTTTCTAAAATAAAGTGGTATGTTTCCATGGACACTGGTATTAAAATTAGACCTGAGAAAACACTGAAGAAGAGGCTGCAAGTTTCAAGTCACTTAAAACACACCAACAGTTATGGTCAAACAATAGCATCATTTATTAGAGTTTGAAAGTAGCCTAATTTTAGCAGATTGGATCTCCTATTGAATTTGTGTCATTTTGTAATAAACTTAAACTTTCATCAATAACTGGCAATTACCTAACACTTATAAAGGTAATGCCTCAATTTTCTGGCTTCATAGGCTATTTCCCTCCCAAAATTATTGCCATACAGTAAAACCTACATAAAACTGAAATTGTCAACAAAATTATTTCTTTCAGATTTCTTTTTCTATTTTGTATAGTTGATTTAAGGAAAGTTAATTTTATTCCATGATTATTTGCATTCCCCATCTTAGGGATTGATGTATCTCTTTTTTTACTGATGTTTGTCTGTCAGTCTACTACTACATACATCGAAATCAGTACAACACATTAATTTTAAAGGGAATACATTTAAATATGTGATTCAAAGGTTTCATAACTAATTCACACGAATTATAGTCATAGTTATAGTATATAGTCAAAAGCTATAGGATGTCAGTTGCTGCTAACTGCCAAGCTAGTTCAGCATCAGCTGTGTTTTTATTCTCTATTCTTTTTGAGTGGGTTTAGCTATTACCTCATTTAATTATATGGATTAACACATAAATTTACCTGAGTATCAGCTTTACAGAAACATATCCCCAACAGCTAGGGTGAAATTAAAAACTTGTTTTAGCTTTAGCAAAAGCTAGCCAAATCTATCACTGGCTAAGCTAGCATTCATTTAAAGCAGAAATCTTGGTTTAGCTGTCTAGCCAGTGTAGTTACCTTTGGTTTTAGTTTTGGGCTGTAGTTACTGCACATTTTATAAACTATTTTCAACGAAAAGTCACCATTTTTATAGCATTTTTTATTTTATTTTATGGTTTAACAGATGCCGGAAAGTCAGATTTCGGTCTACTACCTCATTAAATTATGTGTAATAACAATTACATTTACCAAAGTATCACTAATCAAAATTGTTTCAAGCTAAGGGGAAACAAATAAGTACATTTGCCTTTAGCTTTAGCAAAAGCTGGTGAAAGATCTCACTAGCTAAGCTAGCTTCACCTGATGCAGCCATCTTGCATTAGCTGTCTAGCCAGAGCATTTACTTCAGATAGAGTGATCCAGAGATGATGTTTTTCTGTAGGCTGACATGGAAGTTAGCGTCACCCTGGGTCCCTCATCCAAAAGCCTGCAAGGTTTTTCTATTGGATTTTGGATTATTGTAGGAATGTTTATGATAGGCCTACTTACATGTTTTGTTCAGCAAGATTAACTTCACAAATGAACACCTCTTTTATGATTTTTGAAGCCTAATTGCAATCGCCAGAAGTAAAAAGCTAATGTTAGGCTATCAACAAACTACACTATGGTTGCATGATTAAACGTCAGCACCACAACAAGGCTGTAAAGCCATGTTCAGTGTGATGACATTCTGTTGTCTCATTTAGCCACTTGTCAGCTACCGCCTTTTAAAGACGCATTAAAGCTTCAAAAGTCACAAGTGCGATATTTACATACGTAATTTATGTCGTTGAACAAAATGTAAAAGCCTCTGAAGCTTGTGTTAACCACAGACCTTATTTCAGGCATCTAACCAAAAACCCATTGACTTTGACACAAGGGAGCCATGAGTGCAAAAATGTTAACTCATGTCTGGGTTTTAGGACTCATTCATGAAAAGAGTCAATATGAACGCCCCCCTGTTGTGATATCTATGAGCTCATGAGTGAAAATTTTCTTAGAGCTCATGACTTTGTGCTTTGTGTACACAACTTTACAGGTGTTATACACAAGCTCACGATTCCATCTGAGAGCAGCTCTTTGTTTTTAACATTTTTGGTAGCTACTGAATATTTTAAACAGTTTTCAAGGACATTTTACATTTTTTTTGTTACAATGATTTTACATAGTTGCCAGAAAGTCAGATTGCAGTCTATATTATTGCACTTTGCCTTTGCAGGCCAAGCACCTTCAACAGAGATTCTATTATCTTGACACTCACCTGCAATATCCCAAAGCTGCAGTCTCACCACTGTCTTAGCATCCCATTCAATCCTTTTCAGAGCAAAGTCAACTCCAATATCTGACCTGTAATTTTCATCAAAGCGTTTTCTAACATAACGCAGTACAAAGCTGCTTTTCCCAACGCCTGGATCCCCAATGACTAAAACTTTAAACAGCTTGTCTGTATATACTGTCCCTGAACTCTGTGCCATGTTGTAGTCGACCTGCACAGGTATGCAGGCAGGTTAAATTATCTACTGTACTTCCTTAACAACTGCAAAACTAGGTCAGATTCTTGTCGAGTAAACATGCTGCAAAGGTTTTAAATCATCTGTGTTTACTTCAGATGTCTCAACACCACTCGTCCCTTTATGACTACTTTTACTGTTCCTGTTTCCAGTTTCCTCCTTCAAACCAAAGCTGTAAATCTTTGACCGTTGATTCAAAACAGTTGTTGGAGTAAGCAAACACAGAAACCAGCTAATGTTTCACCATGAAAAACAGGAGAAGCATAAAAAATATTTAATTTACTCCAATCAAACAAGTGTCCTTTTAAATGCTCTACAGGAAATACTTGTCTTAAATGGCAGACTTAATTTATACTGTGTATATATCAGGCTGCAGATAGCTTATTCAGAGTATTACTAATGGTAACAGTAGCACTTCATCACAATATACAGGTTTGATAGGCTCTTAATATTTAGAAACTGATTGGTATACACAACCAATCACACAACAGAAACACAGCTAATGAGTTCCTTCTAATACTGTAATGCATATAGATATCATCTGAATATCAAAATATGATACACAATTCATACATTCACAAAACATATGTCATTTATCTTATACATACATCTATACAATTATGAAACCAGATGTCTAATTATAAAAGATATAAATTTGGAACTAGCATAACGTTCAACTCAACTTGCATTTTGAGACCATAGAAATGAGACAGGTCTAAATGTACAAAAGGAAAAAAAGAAATCTTAATTAAAATGTGGCACTTGAACTTATCCTCTGCTACATTCGTGACACAGTCAGTGCACTTGCTTGGCAGTGCTGTATCGATCAAAAAAAAAAAAAAAAAAAATCACAGATAAAACATAAATAATGTTGTTTTTGTTTTGCTTCTTTTTTTTAACAAGAAATCTTGTTGGCATTTCACATTTTAAATTAACACATTTTTTCTCTGCTCTTCCTTCTTACAACAAAAGTTTGACATTTTGGAAAATATAAGCTTTCTTGCCAAAAGTCAGAAAAGAGCACTATGTCTGTACACTTGATACACAACTAGGCTATAATCAGTAGGAAGTTTACTTAGCTGAGCAGAAAGACATGGAAAAAGGGAGGAAACAGAAACAGCCTGGCTCTGTCTAAATCTCACAATATCTGCCTGCTTCTAAAGTCAATGACCAACACTTTATACCTTGTTTGATCCATATAAAAAATGTAAAAATTACAATTTATGAATTGTCATCTTTAGACAGAGCCAAGTTGTTCCCCTTTTCAGTCTCTATGCTAAGCTAAGCTAATGGCTGCTAGCTGCAGACCTGTATTTAGCTGACAGATGTCGGGATACAGTCACACATGAGTGACTGCGGGCAAGTGACCATCACCTGCTGAGGGGATATTGGCGCCGAATGTGGGCAGTGCTGGATGTGACTCACACGCAAAGCTAGTTTGCTTGCTAATGTTAGCTAGCTTGCAAATAAATACTGGGAAATGTGACGTTATTGGTACATTTTCCAATTTTACGGCCAATAACGCACAGTATTGGGTGGTTTATCACATAGACTGTATATAAAGATAGACGACATGACAGCTCCCCAAAAGTGAAGCCAAAACATCTCAATTGCCCCCTGGTGGCTGGCTGCAGTATAGGTCATAAACTTGCCCTGTCCATGTCAGCGAATAGGACATGGGTCAAACTAAAAACTCAAAATACACGTCAAATAAATTTTTCCCAAATATGTTTTTTGTCAATGAAGATAGTTGCACGCTGCTGTATGTTGAAGTGCTATTGAAGATGTGAATTTTCCTTGCCACCAGAAGCAAATGTTTTATTTGTGCCTTCACTCGCACTGAATGGAACTAATTGGGAGGTGAATATTCACCACTGCTAATTTTAATGTATGTGTAACCGTACCCTTAGAATGGAATCAATCATCTCATCAAACACTCTTCAAGAAAGCAAAGAAGTGTCCTTTCATTATTTATCTGTAACTGCTTATCCTGTTCAGAATCACAGGGCCTATCCCAGCTGACACTGGACGAGAGGCAGGTTACACCCTGGACAGGTCAGCAGACTATCACAGGGCTGACACATAGAGACAGACAACCACGCAAGCCCACACTCACACCTCCGGACAATTTAGAGTCACCAGTTAATGTATCCTGTATGTCTTTGGACTTGCAAACAAGTTTTCTTTCCAAAATGTTGAACTATTCCTTTAAAACTCTCACTTTCTTTCATTCCTGGTAGAGCACAAAACACACAATGTGTAACATAAAACATATTTTCTAAAAATATTGTTGACAAATCGGATTGTTTTGCATTACATACAAACTATATTCACCATTTAGTCGCCCTGTTTTAAATCAGCAAACTCATCTGCTTATGTCGCCTATGTTTCTCAGATAAATCTATTTATATTAATTAATTTACATACATAGACAATCTTAGTTGTTTGTCTCATAAGCACAAAATCTATTTTATCCTAAAAGCTTATGTTAGCATATAAATATATCTTTGTAATTGGCAAATTCTTTTGTTATTGTAGACAACATCTAAAAGAGTTTTAAAATGTGGCGCCTTGTTGTTCACCCTTATCATGTAACAGCTATCAGTTATAGAGTGAAAATGACTCGTCACACAGAATGACAGTTTCCTTATATATCATCATATACAGCACAAGTCATTAGAAACTTGAAAACAGTACAACTGGTAATGTTCAGTGTGCACCCTCACAGAGTTGAGGAGCTTTGCTTGAAGTCTCTGAGGATGACAGAGGCGTATGTCACATTTGTAGGACTGCACAAAATCGACTCGGACACCGGTGAATTGGGGAACGGGCTCACTGGAGGAGCAGCGCAATCTCGAAAAGGGGACGGAGGCATCAGAGCCAGAGAGTCCTCCATGGCTAATTTGACCGCGACCAAGTCCTCCTCTTCATGAATTTGGGCATTGTTGTACATGTAACCGTGGAGAAGGCCAAACTGCTCGTTCTCCATCTCCTCCTCCTCTAAAGGGGAGGTGGGCTCCTCATTGAATGGGTCCAGGTGCAGTGGCAGGACCGGGTCCTGCTGGATGAGGTGGGCCTGGTGGTATACGGGCATGCCACCACTCACGGCCTCAGGCATGCTGATCATATCATTGAGCTCAGGGATGTCACTGTTGAATTTACAAACCATTGCCTTCTCCTGTAGGTGGTCCATGATGATGTCTTGGGGGAGAATGCAATTTGGCTGCACATGATGAGGTGTATAGAGCTCCACCTCCTCCACGTCTTTTGTCAGCCCACAGGGAATTTGCCCATGAGGCATCATGGGCGGAGTGACAGGGGGATTGTATCTGATAGGGTCACTCTCGTCCTCCTCGGCCACATTGTACAAGGTCTTAGTGCTAAGGTCTGAGAATTCCAGGCCTCTGTTTTGGTAGGTATTAGTTAAGGGTTTGATGACAGCCATCTGATTGGAACCTGCATCCTGTCTCTTCACATGCACTGACAGTCTGTGCCACGTGTGATCCCCTTTTGGAGGATGTCTTGCACCTGGTTCAGACCATGACACAGACTTTCCATTAGAACTATGAACAGAATAAAGAAGGCTGTTACTTCACAGGAACCGAGAAAAGTGGAGACACAAAAAACATTTCTGGTTCATGCAAGAGAGAATGATCTAGTAGTCTTAAAAAATGAAAAATATTTATGTAGAAAATATGTTGTATGTAATATTCCAGGGTATCTGCAGGTCTTGAAGCTCATGAACCCACACTGGGCAAGTGTTGATTTACCAACAACTTAGATGGAACGTTTGTGTATTTAAGTCCATTTAATTCATTCATGCATTCATTCTATCCTGCTTATCTGGGACCAGGTCACATTATTTAATTAGTTATATTATTAGGAATTATTGTTAGATTTTGCTTGAAAGTACCAAAAAGGAAGGATATAAATAATTCTAGGCCATATTGTCCCTGCTGGTTTTCCATATTTTGGCCGGTATCTAACTAAAATGGAAAGAGTCTCTGTCTGTATGTCCTCCGGTCTTCTCAACAACCATTAGAGATGGGCGGTTCAATCCTGTGGATTTTGGTATTAATTCCTTTAAAAAAAATATTGATAATAAAAACATATAAATCAAAAACACTTCCAAATGTTGTCAGTACTTTTGTCCCATGTTTGTGCCAAAGCAGCCCTGATATTTAGCTGGCACATGACACATGATTGTGGAAACCTGTGACATCAGAACAGCTCCTTTAGATAGAAATACAGCAGGATGCACTATTAGTGACAAGAACGTGCCACACAGCAGCAACATGAGTAACCTATTTAAACATTTAAAAACAGCACACCTTGAAAGTTATGAGAAAGCTAAACAAAAAAAAGATGCCCATGATACATTAGTAATATATTTAAAGCAGCTGTGTGGAACTTTTTATATTTATTTATATTCATTTATAAAACTGTCCCTAGTTCGTATCACCCCCCCCCCCCCTTGAAGATCCGCATATTTATTTGAACCCAACAGCGACAAAAAAGCCTTTCTCTATATGGCTATTTAGCGTAGCCTCACTTGGGTTGGACACACAGCGGAAGTCAGCAAAGCAGAATACGGCACCCGAGGCGGAAGTGATTCTGCTCGCCCGCAGTGGCCCGCAGCGATTAAACCACAGAAGAAGAAGAAGCCGTGTTTACAGAGAGTGTTCTGCGAGTAAGCGGTACGCAACGGGCATTGCTGAACACATAACAGTTTTACCAGATGTATCTATAAGGACTTGGTTGTACTTTCAATGTCATGGCGGCGCAACATGTTAGACGTTATTTCACTTCAATATATGATGACACAGAAGTTATAAGCAAGCTAAATGTAACGTTAGCTGATGTGAACCGCTTTTGTCGAGTAACGTTACAACAAACGGCACAAAATTCTGTGAAATTCAGAGCTACACCAGAACATTTATGATTTTCCTCTCGCTCTCCAAAACAAATGCATGCGGTAATTGCCGGTTGCAGTCGAGATTTTACAACACCAGGCTGTGGGTGTCATACCGCTTCGACCAAAGAGGGCGCTATAATCAACGAAAATGTAAAGTTCCGCACAGCTGCTTTAATATTAATGGTCAGTAAGTGTGAGTGTGATTTTCCTTAAGTGTAATGATCTCTTTGTTTAATAAAAAGAAAAGTCACATAACCATTTAAGAAATGGTCAGTATAGGTATATTGTTAAAACTGTAACAAAATTATCTGTATAATGTATAG